GAAGCAGAAACCCAAAAGCATAGCTTAAACACTTTTCAGGACACCCAAATTTTTTCCATCACTCAGGACAGTGCTACTTCATCAGTGTTTGACACCTACTTTATGTGCAATACATAATATGACCAATATATACAATATATTCCCTTTGCCAGGCCACCACGACACGTCTCAATGCTCCTGATGTTCAATATCCCCAGTTTACACATAACATTGAGTTTTTCTTGCAAAAATAGTATAAAAATTTGCTTGAAATTAACCGATGAACTAAAAGTCATGTATAACTCAGAAATGGGAAGAAATCCTAAATGTTCTTTTTTTTTCTATTCTTTATTGATAACAATATGACTAGAGCAACGTCTTAGTACAGGTCTGTGCAGCTCCTCCAGAGTGACCAGAGGCTACTTTGCTACTCCAATTAATGCCCTTTTTTTAGTGGATCTTTTTCTTGATAGTTTTGCAGTTTTGCCATCCTCATATTTTAGGATGATGTTATAAAAGGCTCTCTGTGTTATCACCAAAGTTTGGGATATCGTTCCATGACTTTAACCCATTTAAATGTCTCTACATCTTTATCCCTGATCTTTATGTGTGTTCCTTGGTCTTCTTGGTGCTTTTTCATTAATATACTTGAAAAAAACCTCTAATACCTTCAGAGAGGAGACTCATGTCGAGTTTAAATGACACTTCGTTTGACTCTTTTAAATAATGGTGTGGCTGCAGAGGGGAGTGATTTCATTTAGGCTTATTAGAGTAAATGGGCTAAGTGCTCATGCTCTGCTTTGTGTTAGCCTATTCTATTGAACCCCAATCAAATACATGAAGGTTTGTGGTTTTAACATGACAAAATATCAAAGAAATTTCAAAGGATGACGTTGCTTTTGAGAAGCCTACACATGTTGGCTGGTTTCCATGTCTTCTTTCTTCTGTCACTGTGGACCTTTGTGGTGGCACCACATGTGGCATCTTTGTGCCACTTGTGCCCAGTGGACAAACTAGGACAGAGAGGCGAACGGCAAATGAATCTCATCTGTCAGCCCACCGTTTATAAATTTGATGTCAAAATGTGCAATACAAAGAATCTGATACACAGAAGAGAAAACTCAAGCTTCATGTTTTCTGTTAGTGTTTGGGACATTCAATCCCAAAGACACAACAAAACCCCAACATAAGAAGTCCTCACTAAAACATCTTCAAAGTTCCCATCTGACAGAAAGGCTGATGGTGGAACAAAAGGAACATCTTTCATTTTTAGTTTCATCTTCCAAGACATTTTTTTAAACTCTATATATTCTTTAAAGTTTTTTTTTTTCCTGCCTCAAAAGTCAAATAACGTTGAGGAGATGAAGCGGTCTCTGTGTCACAGGTTATTTAGTGGTGTTGACGCGTTGCCTCATTCTTTGATTGAATACTCGCTTCTTAAGCCATGTTGAAGATGCATTGCTCTACGGTGTGTGTTCCATAAGATCGCTGATTTATTTCTACCGACTGTTTCTGATTAACTGTCTTATCCCTCCTGCAGGGGCTGCCCGGACCCAAGGGAGAGAAGGTATGCTTCATGTCCAGTTCCAGCTCTGCCTAACCTGACCCCGGCATGTTTAGATGCATTTTATGAAATGGTTTTGCCCACATAAAGCCACAGAGATGCATATAACCTAATGAAATCTCTTGACCTTCAGGTGTTTTGCCTTAGACTAACTAAATATGCAGAAAAAAACAATACCGTCTGTGAAGCTCAATGACAGCCAGATGTTTTCCCGCTCTGCTAACCTCAGTGCAGCTGAAGTTGTTGTAAATTGATGGCAGTTAGAGCCTGGCATGTTCTCTGTGATGCCCACGCCTGTGGTGAACTTGGTGCTTTTGCCTCCAACCAACAGATCTGTGGATAAGCAGACAGTCACAGTGAACAGCACTTATCAGGGCAGGACCCAGGCCCATCCACGTTGTGTTATCTCCGACAAATAGATGATGTGAAGTTTAAAAAAAGAAAACAGCCTTCCTTTGTGTTATCATAATAGTAGCTCAGTAATGAGAGCTTGACCCCTTGGTTCCCGATCAAAAAACAATCCTCGCCCAGCGCACACCCACTTTTACTACCCCGATCTCATCCTGTCCACTGAGTCTATCAAATGACTTATCCAGTAAGTGTTTACATCCCATTGTGGTTTGGACAGATGACCCTTGAGTTGCTTCCTTCCTATAAACACTATTTTTATAAGCTCGTGTGTCATAGCAGCCCTACAGTAGCTCTTGAATTATTAGCCATTTGTACATTTACAATTCTGAGAACTACTGACAATTGTTATTTTTCCTGTTTTTCTCTCAGGGTGACCAAGGAGACATTGGGCCAAGGGTAAGTCATGTTTTCTTATCATCTTTGTGAGATAAAATAACAGTTTTAGATGCTTTTTCTTCATAGAGTTGATTCAAAGAAGAAGGTTGTTTCCAGTTCTTCGACTTTTAATGAACCAGAGTTTGCAGTTTGAAAATGACTTTTGATATTATTTCATGTACTGTGTGTCACTAAATTACATGTAGTTAAGCTTTAGACACTAAATCTACAACTTTTAGTTATACGTTAGTACTACAATATAACAGAAAAGTGTTAATATTACAATAAAGTAAATCCACCTCAGCTGAAGGTTATTGCAGATGCAGATTTTTTTGTGTTGTTGTCAGGATTTTTTCCACCTTTAACATAATCTAGATGTTTAAATTGCCATTTCTTCCTTGTTTGATATTGTTATGCACCCTTTAAAGAGAATGTAGCTCCAACTTAGTAACAAGTAATAGAATTAGGTTTGGCCATATTAATTCATTCAATTTGGTAACTTTTAAACTAAATAAATGAAGTTGGATAATTTGACTTGTGTGAATTTTAAACTCTTTCCACAGGTTATCAGTTGGATTAAGTCTTGGCTTTGACTAGGACATTATTCTACCTAAACCACTGTGTTGGAGCCCTGACTGTCCTGTTGAAAGATAAAGCTCTGCCCCAGTCTAAGCCTTTTGCAGCTTCCAACAGCTTCTCCTCCACAATCAGCCCATATTTAACTCTGTTGTCCATAAGTTCTTACTTACAAGTGAATCTCCAGAGCTTCTTTAGAGTTAGCATTCACTATTTGACTGCTTCTTGCAACCTTGCCTCTTAGTTTAGGGTCTTGGTTTGCGTTCATTCATAGTCTTTCCATTTTTAGATGAACAGATTTAAGTTATTTTATTATTTTATAACCTCACCCTGCTTGAAACAGGACTCTGACTTCTGAAAGCAAATTTGTTTGCATTGATTTTTTTTAATGGGATAAATATTAATAAAGTACATATAACATTACTGGGCTGATACACTGAAATTTCATAGCTGCAATTTCAATTACAGTTATTCATTAGAATAAAAATAATACAAAATTTAAAAGGATTCAAGGGTTAAATATTTTTTCAAGGCACTGCATGCATCTTGGTCTCCTTATATGATTTAAACTTGGCAGTCATCCTCATATTATTTCAGCACACATACACCATAAGGCTCCATTTTATACTGTAAAAGTATGTTTCCGTCTAGCTCACAAAAAGAGAAGATTTTGCAGGGCGGGACAGGATCCATATTGGTGAACACTCTGTCAACCATGATATAGAATAGGATGCTGATAACTTCTATTTAAGCTCCTAGGGAGCAGAGGCTGACGTACCATCGCAGGCAGCTTGAGAGTTTGTCCCTGTCCATTAATCAGCAAACACAAACCTCAGACTCAGACTACACACTGACTAAAAATAGCCTTTATGGGATATTTCCTGCAATCAAACATGTGAACGGAAAAATATTTGGATATCTTCATTGTCTTCAGTTTTAAACAAGGATCAAAGGGAATACTTAACATTCAAACGCAAACGCGATTTAATAAATTTAGACACAAAACAAAGACATTCTACGTAGGCAAAGAAAGAAAGAAAATAAGATAATACAGAGTTAACTTTTAAATAGTCCTGCATAACAACAAGAGCGGAGGAATCAGTTACTAAGGCGCCCATTCTAAATTGGAAATAGGAAAAGGCTTTAAAGAATGTATATATTAATATTAAATGTTAATTATATTCAGCATAATGGAAGAAATTCATAAAGAAAAAGTAGAAATGTGATGTTTAGATTTAAATCTGAATAAATCTGGTCTAAACGTGCATAATTATTAGTTTATCTTGGTTCAATACATGAAATAAATGTCCAAATTTAGCTAAACTCATAAAAAATATCAGCTTTGTTTTTCTCTTTCTTCTTCTTTTAATAGGAATGAACTTTTCTTAACTTAAGCTGGATAAAATCTTTTCATCTTCTGTGAAGATTTTATGAATGTCAGACCATCTGTTTAAAAAAAAAAAGTTCAACTGGAGGTTATTTTAACTTAAAATAAAGCAAAATACTTTAGTGGCTCCACATTAAAAGCTTTGGTGGTGATTTCAAATATTTTAAAGAAATTATACTCATCTCTAAATTCATCACTGCTATTTATCTTTTTTTTTTTTTTTACATATATCCTTTGTAGTTGGGCTCAGGTACATCAAATTTAGTTATTAATTCCATAAAGTATCAAAAATGGTATTTACAAAAAAATTTTTGAAGGAGAACAATCCTCATTTGAAGGGCAAAGGTTTATGGTAAACCATTGTTTAAATGATATTTAAAATATGGACAAGATTTAGTTAAGAGCATATACATCTGTTAAATAGTGTTTTCCCAACAAGTAGGTTTGTAAAGATTGAATGTAAACACCAGAGATGAGTGTAAAACCGAAACCTGACATAGTAACAGACCATCACATATAGGAAGTCACAGTTAAAGAAGCAGATTTTAACCCTCTTCGAGGTTAAAATCTAATTAAATCTTGACAAACTATTCCGGCAGTCTGGCCTTTGATGGAGAAATAATGCAAATAGAAAAACTCTTATCATGTCTGCATCTGTGCACATAACCTTTAACAATCCCTTACAGTCATCTAGTAGTTCAGAGAGAGACGTGTGTTTATCCTGTGTGGCTTAGTCCTGGGAGGACTAAACTGCCTGAAACTCATAAACCAGAAATGAGAAACGATTCTATGAGAGATTGATGGAAACTTTTAAACCTTTCCAAAAAAAAGTTGCTATCCAATCTCAACTAGAATATGACCTCTTTGTATCATTAACCAAGGGAAAAAAAACTCCTTCTGCATCCGTTTTTTAGGTTCCCCGTTTTCCCCAGATGAATTCATAATTGCATGAATAAGCAGGTGGAGCTTCTACCCCATAAAATGAGGTGCTGTGCATTAATTTAGAGGAAAGTCCGCGTATAATGGGACAGATTTTGTGATAAACCATCTCAAGTCCTTACACACAGATGCCAGATTTTGGCATTTTTACTTACTCTTCTTATGGAGGTAATATTAACATTATCTAATGGCCCTGTTAGGTCCCTGCTTTGAATCTGATAGAAACCCTGTAGATGGAGCTGAAGATGAGGGTGATGGTAATGATTCAATTCAATTCAGTTTATTTCTATAGCGCCAATTCGCAACACATGTAATCTCAAGGCACTTTACAGTTCAACCAGATCATCCAGTCAAATTGATTCAAAGTTTTCTATCTAAGGAAAACCAGTTGATTGCATCGACTCATTAAAGATGCATTTCAAACAAAGACTTTGAGCTCCCTATGATAGATGAGATAAATTGTGAAAAGTAACATGAAAAAGTTGGTCAGCAAATATAACATGGGTTTAAAATCTGCCTATAATCTTTAAATAAAGCCTTAAATTGATCAGTGAGGGGGGGGTTTACATGCCTGTTTTTAAACAAAAGGTCCATCTTGCTTAGATGAAGATTATTTTACACCTAAATCTGCCAGATTATGAATAGATTTTGGCTTTACTATCTAGTGGTAACAATTTGGGCGTCCAAGGAAACCAGCACATTGCATCATATCGACTGAAGGCAAAAACTATTTAACACTGTGTTCAAATTTGAATATTTACTGATGTACCAGTTTTGATGAGAGCATTAACACTATTTCTAAGGAGTCTTTGCTTTAAGAAACTCATATTTTTCACTATGGAGCAAATGGGACTTTAAAGCTTTAAACATCTATGAAAAGTTTGTATTAATTGCCTTCCTCTTTATAGTTATTTGTGTTATGTTGGTTCTTTTCATGAAATTCCTACAAAATCCATTGAAGTTTGTTGTAACATGAAACTCGAAGAAGGTTAAGACGTATGATGACTCATGGAAAGTCAAAGTGTGAGCGTACGGAAAGGACCCTGGGTGGTTATTGTTTGTGTTGAAGCTGAAACTGAGTTTAAATCCAACAGGCCAGCCTAGTGGAAAGATATTTATGATGCGATTCTGAAACATTGCAGAAATGCCTGATTCCTATCAAGGCGTAGCCCATTACATTTTCCTACCTATGAGTTTTTAGTCCTGAGCCAATCGTTTGAAACGTTTTTGGCATCCTCTGTTGGTAGTTTCTCCAAACGGTAAATATTGCACTTGGCTGAGGCCTTTCTTGATTTGATGCCTTTGGATAAGTCTACAGTTCCCCAAAAAACCTCAAGGTGTTGCTTGGAAACACATGCAAGTCTCAAAACAAACCCTGTGATTGATTCCATAGACATACCCTGGTAGCCGCAGAGAAAACTCATGGATTGAAGTTTTATTCCAGCATGAGCTCAGTTGTCAGTTTGCCCTTTTAGGACGCAGCATTCTGCTTCACCTCTGAACTTTGTAGGATAAGAGAATACATGTGAAAACAGGAAGTAGCCATGAATCCTTGTCAACCTGTGACTTCCTGTCGATCCATCATGTTCAGAGCTATCATCAAGCTGTCTCTGGTCACAAACACAGGATAGGAGACGTATTAAAACGAAATCAGCTGTCTTGGAGCCATCAGACCAAATTACAAAAGGAAGTGCAGTTTAGTATTTTTCTCTCAGAAACCTTTTATCAAAGGAAGTTTGTTGCCTTTTTTAAATCTATTTTCACCTGTGGCTGCACCTTAAACGTTGTTTCCTGTATTGATAAAGCTCTTCGTGTAATGAGATGTTAAAAGGAGGCTATGTGGTCTTCATGGTGGGAACGTTGTGAAAGAGTGAACAGGACAAAGGGGAAAAGATTGAGAAGAGGAGTCCAGCCGTTAGCAGAACCTACTGTCCTTCTCCCCGCTGTTTTTCTCTCTCTAAAACCTCCTCATCACGTCTCTTCATCCTTCCTTGTGCCTTGCTTGTGTTTAAACAGGAGTTCAACCAAGAAGGCTCAAAGCTGTGTGGAGGCAGAAAAACTCTGCTCCTTTCAGCTTGAACGACAATCAACACAATTGCTGTCTGTTGACTGAAAAGAGCCAAACCACCTCTGTTTGGGTTGGGAAAGATGGGAAGCCATTCCTCAGAGCACACGTGCACATTCGCCACGAACTGTATGCTTTGATTGATGACTGAGGCATAAGTTTTAAAAGGGCAAAGGTTGCAGTTTGCAGCTCTTAAGTGTTTCATGGTAACAGATAGACGGTCTTAGAAAATAACTTTTTCACTTTCTGTTCCATTCTAACCTCAAAGCTCAATGGATTTAATTTGGATTTTATGTTGAACGAAAAATTAGTAAATAATTATGAAAAGTAAAGACATATTTTTATTTTTTTGTTGTAAAATATAAAAAATAAATAAAAAGATTGTGTATTTGATCAAATCCAGTGCAACCAAATACCTTCAGAAGTCACCAGAATGGTAAATAGAGTCCACCTGTGTGTGATTTAATCTAGATACACACATCTGTTCTGTGAGAGTTTCTCAGAGAGGATTAGTAAAACAGCATCATGAAGACCAGGAAAGTTGTAGAGAAGTTTAAAGCGAGTTAGATTATAAAACAATATTCCAAGCTTTGAACATCTCTCAAAGCCCTGGCCACCCACCTTAACAAAAAAAGCGTTAATCAGAGAAGCTTTCAAACACGGTGGCTCTGGAGGAGCTGGAGGGGCCTTCATGAAAGGGATGCAACAAACATGTTTTGGCCAGATTATACCAGTTAAACCTTTTGGTCTGTGCCTCTGATGGAAAACACTGCACACTATTCTTAACACAAGGTAAAACCAGGTAGAGGGAGAATCGTGCATAAAAAATGGCTTAAATTTTGGACTCTAAAGTCATTAGAGGAATAACTGAGAACTCTTACAGCAAAAGTTGCTTTTATATTTTTGACTGATGAGGGCAGAATGATTTGGCTGACACATTTTTCAGATCTTTAACTATAAAAATAAGCAGCAACTGGTACGGATCTATCTGCAGGATGATTCAAGATTGGTTTGTGAGTTTTTGTTCAATGTTGGGCTTCTCTCCTCAGGGTCCTCCTAACTACACCACATACGCAGGTCTGCACAGTAATCAGATCGCTGTCAAGGTTTGTTACCCCCACAGAAACGCTCCGCAATCCTTCCAGCAGCCACCTCTCTGTGGCTGCACATCTGTCACTGTCTGCAGAAAGAGGACCACAACCTTCAGCTCTTTCTTACTTCTGTAGTCTGCTAATCTTCAGCATCTCTCTTTTCTCCTGCAGCGACCTGCTCCTTTACTCCTGAACTCACAGTTTAACACAAATATCCTTTTTCTCTTCTTATTTACCGCTATGATTTCTTCTCCTCTCCCTCTTTCTCTTTGACTGCACATCTGTTGCATCTTAGATGGTTTTCCCTCGATATGATCACGGCTTTCTCGCTGGAGAGCAGTCCAGCACCTTTCAGAGACGCTTTATGAAGGTAGACCTCAACTAAAAGGCATGTGCTTCCTCCTATAACATTTCCTCTCCTTTTAAACACTTTGCATGCTCTTATTCTAATCGTTCTTATTTTTCTTTATTATTGTTCTGCTACATAAAAAATAGGTTCATGCTTGTTTGATTTCCTTATCGTTTCGACTGTACTGTTTCCTTTAACTTGAAGATGAAGCAGATATGTTTGTGTTTGGATTATTAATGAACCCGTGATGATTAGTAGCAGGCTTTAGATGCGGTCAGGAAATATATGTATATATGATTTTATTTTTTATTTTTTAAAAGACGAAAAAAAGCTTTTTAGCGTCTGTTTTAGTTATCTACAAAAAGTGGATTTGCTAATTTTTCCTGATATTTCTAAACATTTCAATGCACATTCATTTAAAATGTATGTGACTTCATTTTTCTTTATTTTTTCAGAGCTGCAAAATGAATATAATGATAATAATCACTCTGAAAATATTTTTTTTTCCAATCTGCATGGATTGAATCCCCATTTGACTTTCCTCAACAAAGCAAACCATAATCCTCCAGATGCCAGCAGAGGTGGGAGCGTGCAGAGAAAGTGTCCCCACTGTAATTTTGGAGTATATTCGGAACATTAATGGTTTTCAGTTCTGCGTACAAATTTAAATATGCGTCTGATTTGGTTCTTTACATGTATTAAATCGGAAACAAATGCGAAAACAACTTTCTTTCAGTAAACAAAGCTGTTTATTAAAATGTTACCATGACAAACAAGCTTAAAACAAAAATTGGATTAGTCAGTCTGGGTGTTTTACCGCGACTAAAAACCAATCTGACTCACTGGAGAACATCTGAGCAGATTCATCCTTACCATAAAGTCGCAGTTCCAGTCTTCTTCTATTGAAGCAACACCCTAGTACTGCCTGAATTTGGTGAATAATCTCAACGGCCATGAAATCTACGGGAATTTCTCTTTGTTGATTGGATTTTACAAAATCATTCTGAATCAGGATTGCTATCAAAGCAGAAATACAACAGACAGTTGACACCAGACTGCAGTTCTCCTGTATTCTGCAATAACCTGTTAGTTTGCAGAACAGTGCTTCCTGCAGTTCCTATGTTCCCTCAGCTGGTGCAGCAGACACACTTATTGAAGGAATATTTACATTATACACGAAAATATTCCACAAACATATAAAATGTTTTCAGATACATAGTACCGGTAATTATTTACTTCAGAGTCTGTTATTAAAACTAAATTTCTTGCTTTTCAATGTATTCTATCTAGAGCAGATAATGCAGATTTTAATATAATAAATTGGGTAACGCATTGGGTAATTTTAGCATATGTATATATAAGATAAAATGTATAAGTTATTACACAATATTATAATTTTGGAGAAGAAAAAGCACAAGAACCTCTTATTAGTATATTTCTTTCCCCCAAACAGTGTCTTAAACACAATATTCATCTTTCCTTTTCACTCACGTTTTCTATAAACGGGATTATGGTGAAAAGAAACTTAAAGAAATCTTGGTGATAAAGGTGACCAAGATCCCTGTTTGTACTCAGAAATGGGGAAGACAAAAAAAACATGGTATCTAATGAAATTGTCTTGTGTTCATCTTCATAAGGCAGAATTTTTATCCAAGAAAACATCTACTTTTATGAGCTTTATTTAATCCAAAATTACAGCAAGGAAAAAAAAGGGAATGAGTGGAAACAGGCTGGACAAGATTGTTGGCTTTGCCAACATACTGGGAGAGAACTGAATTTTTCAGTTTTCTGGGCCGAAGTTAAGACTTTCCTTTATTTCTGACTCCACTTAGACAAATCTCACTTCGATTCAAGAAAAGATGACAAGTTAGCTTGAATCAGCATTTAGTTGCATGAATTTTCAGTTCAGGAATACATTATTCATCCCAAATGGAAATTAAATTATATGACTGACATTACAGGGGTTTCTTCACAGAGTTTTTGCAGAGATAATGATCTGCTGCAGTGGTCTGTCTTACTGCAACTCTGGAGAAGCTTCTGACTCAAGACACTGTGTAGTGTAACGTTCTACACTTTTTATTTTTTCATTTTATTACAAAAGGAGCCTTAAAACTCTGTGTTATAATTTTCAGGAGTCTAAAAAATTATAATACAATGATAGCTTTTCTTATGAAAAATAGCAACTGTTTTGTCAGGATTATAACTGGATGAACAGACATGCGGCTCCAGTGCTTATAATAAGGCTCTAACATTGACATTACATATATGTCTCTGAAAAGTACAGAATTCAGTTAAACCGTTGATCAGCTGTTTGCATGACAAAGCATGTTATAACAAAACATTTATTTTACTGAACACAAAAAAGTCAATGATACGTTGTCACACTTTTATTTTCCCTAACTCTGTACTCAATCTTTTTCAAGGCGTCAGTGGACTGTTGGGAGTCCTAAAACAGGAGCAGGTTAAAATATGTCTTTATAGCTTTTAGAAAACTGAATCCAGTGTTTCTATATGAGGCTTTGTTTGATTCTGGATTTATTTCAGAGCTTTTTACATTCTCATATAGGTGTCATTTATTTAGGATAAAACATTTACATTTAACCCATAGAGTTAGGTATTGATCCGTGTCTGCTGCCACCACCTGGACAAACACATTAAATGCACCTCTTTTAAAATAGTGGCGACAGTTAATGCTTTACTAATTTTTTTCTCTATCATGCTTCAAACATTGACTGTTTGCCGAAATTTGACTTGGTTTGACTTGTGAAAGTGTTGCTTTATTGTTCCCTTAATCAAAAACTAAAACAATCTAATATTTTCTTTTCCATTCTCCCTCTTATTATTGTCATATTCTTTAGGGTGATCAAGGCCAAGCTGGACCTGCCGGGCCTCCTGGTCCACCGGGTCCTCCCGGGCCCCGTGGCCCCCCAGGGAACACCGGGAAGGACGGGCCCCGTGGCCCTGCTGGAGAGGCGGTAAGAGCATCCCCCAATTTGGATGAACTCTGCTCACCTCACCACACTAAGGTTGCACCATAAATGCAGAGCTTTGGATGAAGGCGATACACACCTATCATTTGGGCAAGGGTCTTCTATGTTAACTGTGGTGGACCCCAACCCCTGTTTGGCTTGTTAGCTGTGGTTTACCTAAATGGAGAAAAAAAAAAGAAATATCAACTCTAATTCAAGCCTCGTCTGTTTTTCTTAAGTCAGCAGCCACAAAGCTCTCTAAAACACGCAGCTTTCACCCACACTGCGTTACTATGCACACTGAAACAGATACGGCACTGTGGGGGGGGGTTAAGGTCAGGTTGGCCGCAGAAAACAATGGTGCGTTCCTTGTCTGAGGAATTTTCTGTTTCTCAGAATTAACGTTTCTACTCCACAGAGTTGCATTGATCTGCTGTGTCAGCGTTAAGCCGTGGTTCCTGAATTTTATCTACTCTAAGGGATAATAGCCGTGTTAGTCTCTGACGCTGGACTACGAGGGATTTACATGAAAGATGTTGGTTGAGAGTTGAGAACGCAAGACTGAAATGACCACAGAGATCAGCCAGATTAGCTCAGAAAGCGCCAAAAAACAGACGGGCCGAACAAAAGAGGGGCCATCATGTAACCTAGCCGGCTGCAAATAGTCTTCTCAAGTTGATTAAAGGCGTTGCGAAACCAAAACAGAAAAACAAAGCGGTGCAGAGAGCTGGTCCATGTTGTGGGCAGATGTCTAAGTTGGGCTGAGTAGGAGAAAGTGAGGGAACCTACCAGCATGAGGGTCCTCTAACCCAATGCTTGGAATTCAAATGCATTAAAAAAAGTATTCATACCGCTGCAAAGATTTATTTTATCCATCCCCATAAGCTTGTAGGATAGATCAATAAAAAAGCTGTGTGTAACTGAGAAGAGAGAGGGTTAAGGTCTACTCTGTTTCACCACATTGCTGTTGGACACTTCAGCAGGATCTTCTAGTGGCTTTCTCTCAGCAGTTGAAGAATCTGAGCTGTGGATCTATCAGAAAACCTCTGGCTCCTTCCTGATTGATTCTGCTGGAGATATTTAAAGGTTTATGTATTATTTTATCACCTAGAACCACATCAAACATCTCCACAGCTTTAAGTGTGAGCTTTTCTGTGAAAATGTTCATAAGGTGTTGATCCTCTGCAAGGGGTCAAAGTTTCAGTTTCATTTTGAAATAAATTTCAGAGCTTTACGATTTAAACTTACAAAGCAGATGTTTGTTTTAACGTCTTAATTCAAAGCTTGCATAAATTTTCAGTCCCTGTAATCGGGCTGACATCTGAACCAGGTTCTGTTCTGCACTCAAAAAGCCAGCTAGAAATTATTTGTAACGGCGATTTGTTTCCTGCTGCTGAGCAGGCTAGATCAAACGATGGGTTTGAGGTAAGAGTGGTGGGAAAAGAAGTTAAAAGGCTGCAGGAGGATGGGAAGAAAAAGAGGACCAGAGAGCTGCATCAGGATGACAGCTTGTATGTGTAGAAGTGCAAGGAAAAGAAAAACAGCTGGGGAACATCTTGGTCGCCCCGGCACAATATTGTACAAGAACTAGATGGAAAGTTAATACCCTCCGATGTATCTGCATTTATGTGAGTGCACTGAGCGATCAAGTAAACACTGCTCCTTGATTGCTGTGTGTGGCGCGTGATCGAGGGGGCTTTTTCCCTCTAAGTTTCCTTTGTAACGGATGACTTCATAGCAGATATTCAGCCGTCCACCTGGCCCTCGACAACAGCCGATAAGTCTGTTTGCCTAAATGAGCCAAATCACTGATAGACAGATGGAGAAAAACATGGAAGGTGACATGAAGCAATGCTTTTCTTTGATGTTTTTTTTTTCTCCAGGTCAGGGCTTCATATTTAAACCCCTACATTTGCTAAAAAAGAACCAAAACACGATGATTTTTCTTTAGTAAACACTGAAAAAACACTGTAGCTTTCAAAAGCTATAGAGAAAGCATTCCCCTTTTCTGTACCTGTAAAATGTCCCCACATATAAATGAAAGTAAATTTTCAAAATAAAGTGAAAGGGGCTGTTTAGTTGAATAATGATTTAAATAACCCAAAGGGATGTCTTAAATCTGGAATGCAAAAAGTTGTCTGATTCACTCCCTTTGAAACATTTAATCCTTTTATTTGTTTTTTAATAGTCATTAATCTTCCTGCTCTTCTACAACACACAGCCACTAACATACAGTTTGTGCACTTTTCATAGGATGGCTGTTGTACTAATTTGGAGCTTTAATTATTTATTGAACAACTGTCAGGAATCTTTAAAAAAGATCAAGTTAAAATGTGAATAGCCTACTGATTTTCGGTTGGATGTTTTAAAAACTGCTTTTATAGTCACAGAAGGACATTTGCATGATTATGGGAAGGTAGTTTAACCACTTCTGTTTTCTTTTCTTTTTTTTTTAACAGTGTCCTGTCTGGTGATGTGGCAATAAGAATAATTGTCTTAATGCCAAAAAAAGAGCACAACAGATTTTACTTTCACAAGTGGAGCAGTAAGGCTATCGCCATAGTGTTCCGCTTGTTTTATGCATATAAATTGCTTTATTATAATTATGCAGGGAGTTTTACAGATTATGTGGACACTGCAATGTAGGTAGAACAGGAGAGGAAAAACAGAAAAAAAGGAGAAAAGATGAAAGAAAGAGGAGACAAAAGGGAGACGACAACCACCTCTGTTATCAAAGTTGGTGGAATTTATTTATTTCATGGCATACTCACATGGACAGTTCTAGAGAAGGGCCTACAGGGGCCTATGCCCCTGTAGAACTAGTCCTGCCCCCTATCATGGCCCCTATACCAAAGACTTAAAAATAAGCATATTTATAATAATGATATGCACTGGAACAGAATCCATAACTGTTTGATCTCTTGGACCAAATTTAATTTTGTTTTCCAGTTTTATTCTAATAATGATTTAAAAAGAAAATAGTTAGCTTTTTCAGACAGAATCTGTTTTTAGCTGCAATATATTTGGTGTCCAAAGCTCTTTGGGTCATTTAATATTTCAAACGCTGATCCAGTTGCTTTTTTTTTTTTTTTTTTTGTTATTCTTTTGTTGTGTACCCCCCATATAAAAGCATCCTGACCCCTCTGGTGAAGCTGATGTAGAACCACCCAGAGGTGTCAAATAACAAATTACAAATACTGTTATCTTAGATAAGTAGAAATTTTGGCTATCAATACTTTACTGGAATAATAATTTTTTAGACAACTTTTAACTTCTACTCCTTACACGTTACTCGTTAGTTTTGTTTCATTAAAGTTCGTTTGTGTTATGGCCTCTTGGTATTTAAAACAATAAAGTCCATCAAAATAATGTTTTATCCAGATAATTCAGTTCTTTGTGGTTGGAATCTGTACTGCACCAATTTTTTGTCCACCACATACCAAATAAATAGTTTTCAAGACGATGCAAAGTTAAATTTGAGACTGTTACCATTCGTTATAAAACTAAGAAAATGAATCATAAGGAAGTTATTTTCCAGAAAATGTTCCTTTAACAGGGTAGCGCAATAATCAGTATGTGGTTTAAGCATCTTTAAAAAAAATTTCCTGCATTACTTTTACTTTTATACTTTTACTTGAGTAAAACACTTACGTTGATGCTCTTCTAAAGTGTTTTTAAACAATAGGATTTACCGGTATACTTCTATTTGAGTAATAAACTTTTGACACCATTGGAACCACCACTGCATACTCACCTTTTAGGAAAGATGGTAACAGGGAAAGCTCCCTCCCTCCATTTAAAAAAACAGATTTTTTTGCTGATTTTTACCACCAATCTGAGACCTAATGATTATTTTACCATTTCAAACACTTTGCAAGTTTAAACAGCAACACACTGGAATCCAATCCTACCTCATCACATTATAGCCAAATCACTAAACCTCAATAGACCATAAAAACCTTTCCTTTCAAGGTTTTTATCTTGTCTGCAACTGTCAATCTGATCTCTTTGAAACTAATGTTCATCCAGAGATTGTCAGAGTGGTGTCAGATTGGAACAACTTGTGCAAATATGTTGGTAATTCAAATCTACAATAAGCCTTTTTTGGATCTCCTCAAAGGTATTTAGGATTTCCCAATTTTCTGATTTATTGGTCAATTGAATGATTCTAGTCAAAACAGTTTGATACCGGAAAAGAGAAACTATTAGCTGCAATCAATAACGATAACTAAGAAGTTAAGCCTTGTCAGGTTAAAGACACCACGATTCCAGCTCTACTTATCAGAGGTTTTATTTTTAAGTCTTTGCATGGATTTTAGATATTGTCCTTTTTTTAAATGCATTAATTTAGTGTAATATATAATGATACCAACCAGGAAACATTTCTGTAGCTTCTAATCCCACAGCTACAGTACTGAATGTCTCAAGGATGAATGACTTCTTTAAAACCTCAGTCAACGCTGACATCTAGTGATTAAATTTGTGAAGTACATTTTTCCATCTCAGTACATCTTCTCTGTGTCCTCTGCAGGGTTTGCCTGGTCGGGATGGTGTAGAGGTAAGTTACCTTTATTGTTTTTTGTGCCCAATCTTAAGTCAAAGGCAATATTTATGTCAATTATTTTGTTCATTTATTTTTCTATTTTATCTCAGGGACCGCAGGGAGCCCCTGGGAAGCCGGTATATATAAATAATAATTTATCCTTTTGGACTGAGCTCACTTATTCTTCCTGTATGAGTTTGTTAAACTTTGCTCTCTTTACATTTATCAATCTCTACTGACTGGCAGGGAGAAGATGGAGAACCTGGCTATCCAGGACAGCAGGGTCCTCCAGGGCCAAGGGTAAAACCAAGCTTCTCTGATGCTTAATGTTACTATTTTGAACTAATTTAAAGCATAAATCCTATCTTTTTTTATAAAACAGGGGGAACCAGGTATTGGAGAAAAGGGAGAGAGAGGCATGGATGGACTACCAGGAATAAAGGTAAAAAAAGATCTTTAAACAGTGACCATCACTACAATATTAACTCATTTGCATGATTCCCATTCAATACAAACAATAAGAATGCACAAAGCGTTATTTGATGTAACCTTTACTCATCACACAGGGTGATAAAGGAGAGGCAGGAGAGCAAGGACCACAGGGACCCATGGTGGGTTTTTATTTATGTCTTGAATCCTTTATACTCCCTGTTTTTGTTGCCAGGTGTGTAAATGATATGCGTTCTTTATTCCAAACCTCGCTGCAGGGTTATCCTGGTGAAAAGGGTGCTGCAGGCTCCTCAGATATTGTTGATTTCAACGGGAAGCTTCTAGATGCTTTCCAGGTGAGTTTAATCACATCTGATCCAACAGAACCTCAGCACAGGGTTGCACAGTGAAATGTAAGGAAACCTAAGCTGATATGAAAGTTTCTGTGTCGCTGTCTCTTCCTGACAGGCCATCAAAACCATCAGTGTTTCGGTAACCTGCCGCTGCTGCTGCATGGTTTTTGGTGGCGTGGCGAATCACTAACACCACTTTTCCTGCTTGTATCAGCGTACACTTTGTGTGTTTCCACCACACATCACACCTGCCTCAACAGTGTTTTATTTTTGCATTTTTCTGCGCATTATGTCAATATTTCTGTCATCAGATGTATTGGATGTCACTATACAGGCCACATCTAGAGAGGCTCACTGAAAGCTAGGGTCTGTTCGGTTCTAGCGCATTCATTTGCGATACAACACACAAGCGGAGTTAATATATAGCAGCTGTGTTGTTTATCAGATAAATGCACAGCCTGCAGGCATGTGTTTAACCATGCAGAACAATCAGCAGGGTTTGTTAAAAGGTTCTAAGTGTGCTGCAGTGTTGTGTAACTCTCACTAAAGTAGAGGATGGTGTGTTTTCTCTGTGATTTTGGTTTTCTCATACAGTCCTCATATGTAAACACAATCCCTTAACTTGTTACAACCACAAGACTCAATGTATTTTATTGTGATTTTATGGACCAAACCAACACAGCGTTGCATGTAACTGGAAATTTATATAAAAAAAAAAGGAAAACAGGATTAATTGTTTTCAGACAAAAAATCTAAAAAAAAATGTGACTTGCACTACCGTTGTGCATCCTTAGTCACTGTTTTGCATAAGTAGAACCACCTTTTTCTGCAATTAAAGCTGCAAGCCTTTCAGAATATAGCTATCAACTTTATGCATCTAAAATGAAATATATTTTTTTGCAAAATGGAGGCAAATAATTTATGAATATCTGTTTTTAAGTATTGAAGCTAACTTTCAATTAGGTTTAGTTCTAGCTCAAGGTTCTGCAACCTGTGGCTCTGGAGGCCCTTTATACACTTGACAATTGTTCTTCATTACTTTGGCTAAAAATTATGAAGAGCCAGATAATCTTGACCAATTGCATTGGATTTCCTAAATAAATTAAGTCTAAATATAACAGAAATGTATTTTTTATCTTTTAAGTGGGATGAATTTATTTTTTTCTTTTAACCTAATTCACCAATCCATTTAAAATATATTTATTCTATTTTCATACATATTTTTGCCTCATTTTAAAACTTTGGAAATGGGGATAATTTTAATAAATCTTTGGTATATATGTCTTTAAAAAAAAGGTCATGATATGTTTGCGGCCCTGAAATTTTTTTTACTGAATGTAAAAATGTCTCTTTGGATTGTAAAGGGGAGTGGCGACCTAGTGGTTAGGGCATAGAGCTTTGAATCCTGAGGTTCTGAGTTTGAGCCCCACTGTAACAGACAGCAACAATGGATTCACCTAATTGGATTTTATTTAATCATTCTGCCATTTTAGAAAGTATTTGTTAGCACTAAATTGTATTACGGGGGTATTAAAGTAAAAGTGGGCTGAATATAAATCTACAAAGATATTTTTCGGGGTTTTTTTTACGGTAATTGCAAAAAGAAACTTCTTTCACTTTAACATAAAGATTACACTCTGCTTTGTGTTGGTTAATCACATATAATGACAAGAAAATACAATGAGTTTTGGTTGTCAAAAAGAAGCAACTTAAAAAAAACAAGCTGTGTATACAGGAGCAGGAAATCTGGATAAAAAGGCACAACGGCCCTTTTATTACAGTCACATGCCTGACTTGATACACTTGATCCCCATTTTGCCCTGGACCGGGGTTTACATGCTACTGACAGATGACTATCTTCACAGTGGTGTTTGCATTTGATTAAAAACATGTAAGAGCCGATTCCCTTTGGGTCCTGATCTGAAACGAGCTGCTGCAGAGTCACAGCCCAGCAGCCTCAGATGGCTTCAAAGCAGATGTTGAAAACACCAACTGAAGATCATATCACAAAACTCTCGCAAAGGAGGATCAGCCTACCCAACAGTCTACTCAAAAGGCCTCTGCTGGACCTCTAAATGTGCATAATTCACTCGCCGGCCACCCATGTTGCATTTGGATCAATTCACTTGTTTGTGTGAGAAGCAGGTTCTGGTGTTTCATCTGCGCTGACATGTTATGCACTAATGAATCTGGTGTAAAACAACTGTTTTTGGTTTTTGAGTCTGCTCTTCATTCTGGTTGCATGAGTAGCGCTCACTAATCTATGATGAAATACTCCAAATTGAACGGTGTCGAGTAAACATCTCCTGATTCCAAGGATTTTATGGAGAACCGAGAGGGAGACCAGCACCTCTGGGAGGCAGCGTGGTTTCCCTTATTATTACTTCAAGATGGCCGCAGCCTTCAGAGGAAGGCGTAACAAGTGTACCGCTGGGGACATGGAGATTAAGGAGCATGATTAAAAAGAGGCTGCTATACAAAGCAGACATCAGGGAGAGAATATGCCAACCATCTATCTCCCATCCAGGGCTGTATGAAGTCAAATGAATGTTTGGCTTCCACTCCTTTTCCCCCCAGTCTGCATCAAAACAATCAGCAGCATGAAAAATGACACCAGATTGTTGTGCAGTGCTGCACATCCATTTCACATTATCTGGGAGATAAAATGGCTTCAAGTTGTTTTTGATCAGCATAGGTATGAACACGAGGTGTTTACTACTCTATTTACATGGAAAGTGATGAGTAGCATGCAAAACCAAGGCGGGTTGTATTTATTATGCATCGTGTGCAGCCCTTCCAGAGAGCTTGTTTTATTTACAGCACTTGACTGAATTTAAATGGCGAATACTTTTTTCTTTAAGAGGCCAACATGGAATATCATTACCCAACAAGCCATGTCACAAAAGGCTCTTAACATTTTTCAGAAAGATCATTCTAAGGCTAACAAATTCTCTGGATGTAAGTGTTGTGTCTACAGAAGCTGGGATGCATTCTCTCCACTCGAAACGCAACAAAAACATTTGTTAAAACAGCTTTTAATGTGATTAATCTGGAGTAAAATTGAACACATCCCATTTGTCTGTTTGTCTCTAGGGTCCACCTGGACCACCAGGACCTCCCGGCCCTCAAGGGGAAAAGGTAAGAAAGCACAAATCCTTATTATTTTGGAACTTTATCAGCTTTTAAAGGTAGACACATCATAATGGCTCTTTTTAGAGCTTTATTTACCTTTAATGTGATAATTATGCTGTAAATCTCAACTGAAAAAATTGGCATTTTAAAAAAGGGTGCAATAACCTGAATATAGATGTGCATAAAAATATATAATTCAGTCTCCTTGTGTTAACACCTACCATCAGGTACAGTAAATATGATACTTTTGAAATAAGGGTACATTTTTCCTGCAGGATCGATAAAGTATTTTTTTATAGCCTATTTGAACTTTTTGAATTCCCAGTTTTCAGAGAGAATACTAAGGACCATGAGAATATATTGGTATAAAATCATCAATTAGATGAATGATATAAAAGGTTTCACAGTGGTACAATAATACCACGGGATGTGGAGTACAGTCATTAGTTTTAATTGGAGGAAATGTTGGACAACAGTAGCATTCCATAACATAGAATGAATGAAAATACAAGAAAGAAAATGCAGCAGAAATTTTTTGCCAAGCATTGGTTTTGTTTTGCAACCTTCTCCTGGATTCTCTGTACGTTCGGACTAAGAAGTAAAACAGGAACCGTTCTGCAGCAACAGTTAACATGTTTTTGGCAGCATTTTCTTTATTTTCATTTAGTTTTTTCTAATTGAATTGCTGTCAGTATCAAAGTTAACAAAATTAGAACAAGTTTCAGTTTAAAAGGGAAACATGAGAGACAATTAATTCAGCAGTATCACTTTGAGTCAAAGCATCAACATATGGACCATGGTCTAAATCGCCATAGCAATGACAGCAAATTCAAGTTTTAGGATGGAGTAGTTAAATCGAGATTTTGACTTGCACTACCGTTGTGCCTCCTTAGTCACTGTTTTGCATAAGTAAAACAACCTTATTCTGCAATTAAAGCTTCAAGCCTTTCAGACTATCAACTTTATGCATCTAAAATGAAATATTTATTTTTGCAAAATGGAGGCAAAGCATATATGAATATCTGTTTTTAAGTATTGAAGCAAAGTATTGAAGAGTAGTTAAATCGAGATTGTGACTTGCACTTTTGCATAACTAGAACCACCTTTTTCTGCAATTAAAGCTGCAAGCCTTTCAGAATATAACTATCAACTTTATGCATCTAAAATGAAATATTTATTTTTGCAAAATGGAGGCAAAGCATATATGAATATCTGTTTTTAAGTATTGAAGCTAAGTATTAAACAGTAGTTAAATTGAGATTTTAAACAAATGGAAAATCTGTGGTGTCACATGAGGAGAGCTGAGAATAGCAAACTTGTTTAAAATGCAAGTAATTTTGAGAACTTTTTGCTTAATAAAGTAGACAAACAGATGTTAAGAGTATTCTTCACTTCAGTAGAAGTGTATAAACCTATGGAAAAAAGAAGATTCTGGTCAAAGTAAAAGTACCAATTGAATTCCTTTACTTTATAGTTATAACGAACAATTTTTATATTCTGTTTTTGCCTTAAATCATACAAAATTCTTTAAAGAAAACTCTTCTGTTCACAGAAAAAGGGTTCCTTCATGAAAATGTTTTATCGTAATCACTCTTTCTTTCATCTTTTATCCTTTTTTCTGTTTTTCCTCTCCTGTTCTACCTACATTGCAGTGTCCATATAATCTGTAAAACTCCCTTCATAATTATAATAAAGCATTTTTTATGCATAAATCAAACGGAACACTATGGCGATAGCCGTACTGCTCCACTTGTGAAAGTAAAATCTGCTGGGCTCTTTTTGGCATCAAAACAATTATTCTTATTGCCACATCACCAGACAGGACACTGTATAAAAAAAAGAAAAAAAAAGAAAAAGGGTTCATTTAAGTTAATTATCATGGTGTTGGTAGAAAGAACATTTAAAAAAAGCATTGACTTATCCTGTCCTGCTCTAAACTAAAAATTTCAGTCAGGATCATTTAAATTTAACTTAACAGAAATGCAACTACATGAGTAGATGAACACTTTTTGAGCTCCGATATTTACTGCGTTATGGTTACATATACCTTTAAAATAGAAAAGAACTGGAGCATATTCAACATGTGAATGTAAAATCTAGTAAAGGGGGAATTGGATGGGAATGTCATGAATCTCCGAACCCGATCCGTAATGTGTGATGTCTCCCCGCTCTTCCAGTCTGTAAGCAAACTGGGCTCCAGAGACAGATTCTCTCACGCTCCTGATTTAAGCTCAGAGTAAAAAGTACAGATATTTGCCTTCAAATATAGAAAGTAAAATAAATACGGAAGTAAAGTACTGATACAAAGACAAAAGTTAGATAGGCTCTGTTGACAAATATGATCAAGCCAAGATGTGATGATGGAAAAGTTGAACCAGCAGAGATTCTGTCCAAACAGCTTCACCAAAGTATAGTTTTCAGTTTTTTGCTCTTTTTTTTTCATCTGATTCAACAGTGTCCACTTAGATATTTATGTATCGATGAGGCCTTTTAAATTCATGCGATCAATAACATAACTATGTCTCTTTATCCTGAATTAGGGAGAGCTTGGATTACCTGGGCCTGCAGGAGTAGATGGAGAAAAGGTACAATACCTGCAAACTCAATGTTTTAAAGAAGGCCAGTCAAAACTTGCAGTTATCTTATTGTCCTTAAAATGGAATTCCCTCTGGTGTTTTCACCATCAGGGATCCAAAGGTGATGTGGGTGAAACAGGACCTCCTGGTGAGAGAGGAGAGAAAGGAGAGATGGGTCTGTCTGGACCTTCTGTAAGTTGTGACGGTAAAAGTGTTTCTTTGAAGCGTCATACAGTGAGCTGTGAAAATAAAGTTTTTTTTCTACATGGATCAGGGGATGGATGGACACAAAGGGGAAAAAGGTGACTGCAGACTGGATGACAACCTGGTTAGTATTAAAAAAAAACACATGAACACTAATTAATGTGTCAGATCCACACAGACATGTTCACTCAGCAGCTTTATGCATTTATTTTAGAAATAACAGAGTAACACTGGGCTGAGACACATTTAATAACCTGATGAAACTATTAGTGTTATAGTAGTGCTATTGGTATATAGGGCTGCTCAGTACGAAGTGGTTAGCACTGCTGCCTTGCAGCAAAAAGGTTGCGGGTTTGATTCCTGAACCATTGTATTTTTGCATGGAGTTTGCATGTTCTCCCTGAGCATGTGTGGGTTCTCTCCGGGTACTCCGGCTTCCTCCCACAGTCCAAAAACATGACTGTTAATTGGCTTCTCCTGTTTGTCTCTGTGTTGCTCTGCCATGGACTGGCGACCTGTCCAGGGTGGACACACCTCTCGCCCTGTAGACAGCTGGAGATATGCACCAGCACCTATTGCGACCCCACTCGGGACAAGCGTGACAGGAAATGGGTGGATGGATAATTTAAATATGATTACTATTCATTTATCCATCTACTTTTACAAGCTTAAAACCTGAAAGTATTTTAGTGAAATTTTATTCGATAGATCAACACAAAGCATGGAAAAGACTTCGGAATAATAGGAAAGCTGTGTAACTTAGATCTGTGTTCAGCCCAAATCTATATTAGGTTTAGTCAGTGCTGCACCTTTATTGAAACTTTTATTATAATATCAACTATTACAGCTCTGGTTAAAAGTTCACAGTTGTTATCGTCCTGTTGGAGGATGGGCATCTGCTCCCATATGAAATCCTCTCAAGGATCTCCCTTATTTCTTTTACTTCTCTCCCGTCAGATTCAGATGATTTCTCAGCCGGGGCCTCCTGGTCCCCCTGGACCTCCAGGAGTACCTGGGTCTCCAGGATCCATGGTAAGTATTCCCATCCAGGTTTTGATCCGGCATTATGAGCCATTTGGATGCTGACACTGTTCCATGTATTCCAGGGGCTGCATGGTATGCCTGGTCCTAAGGTAAGCTTAGAGGGCTTGGTAAATTTGGTTAAGTGATGAAGTTGGAAGAGTAGGTTTGGATCTATGTGCTAATTTATGTTGTCACCATTCAGGGTGAGCCAGGAATCGGGATTAAAGGAGAGAAGGGGGAACATGGGGCTCCTGGATACAAGGTAAGGCACCGTTTTACTAATAAAGTTATTTACATGTTATGTCATGTGTATAATGCAGTACTGATAGTTAACTTATACTACAGGGACTGGACGGCCACCAGGGTCCACCTGGGGCTCCTGGGTTAGTGGGCCTCCCAGGCGCAAAGGGAGAAAAGGTAAACCCATCTTAACCTCTGTAGTATATGTTTCATAAACCTAATTTGATTCCTGTTGGAAATAAAAAGCATGATTTTCACTTGTTTGCAGGGTCGACCAGGGGAACCGGGTCTAGATGTGAGTTTTTTGAGAGGAAATTAACCGATTGTTTTTTCTTAAAAACATGCACTGATTTCCTGCTCTTCATTCAGGGTTTTCCAGGTCTGAGAGGAGAAAAAGGCGACCGGGGGGAAAAAGGAGACAAGGTTAGTCTGAATGATACAGATATACAGGGATGTTTTTGGCATCCATAGAGAGGATGCTTAAAAAAATATTACCTACACTTTTAGATAGATCAAAGCTTTTAGAAACATTACTGTCTTTTCCGGGGGTTAAAATATGCTGCGATCCAGAGTACTTTTTGTCTCAGCTTCAAGTCTTTATTCTAGAGGAGGACACCTAGATGCACAGTGAGCAAAGCTCCAGAAAGGTGCACAAAAACCTCCAAATTTTACCTTTAGTGAACACAAAGGAAGAATGGCATCAGGAAAGAGCAGTTTATGTTCTACAAACACAAATATGTATGCATGTAGGGCTTGTTAAATGCTTTTTGGACTAAAACGGTTACTTTTGTTAAGGGACTTTGGCCTGAAGCAAAGAATAAATGTGAAGAAAAGCACGGTGGAGGGTCTGTGCTGCAGTGGGCCTGTTCCTCTTTCAAAGACCCTAGTTATAAAGCATAACATTCAGAAACCAATAAACCTGCAGGTTTAACCTAAAATCATTAAAGCACAAATTTCTTTAAGCTTTTTACCCATACCAGGAGAAGCCATATTCTCTTCTTCCTTCTTAACATGGAGAATTTAATGCTATAATTCCAGACTCCTGCCTTTTGTTTTGTCCTTATAATCACTGTGTGGTTCTGATTGCTGCCTTCTCCGTGTTCCAGGGTGACAGAGGGACGGTCGGGAAGAGAGGTCTGAAGGGTAGCAAGGGAGAGCAGGGTCCTCCAGGACTGGACCAGCCGTGTCCTGTGGTACGTCCCCATCAGACGCCTCCAAACACACAACAACATGTCCTTGTTCAAGCTGCAAACAATATTCTCAGCCGCCTCTTTTCATCTTTAATGGCTTTTCTTCTCTTTTATTCTGTTATTCACTCTCTATGCTGGTTTTCTGAGTTTCTTGCTTAATGCTGTAAATGAGTAACCGAAACCTTCTGACAGGGCTGTGATGAAAGTAAAGATCAGTCTGTGAAGGCAGGGCTTTCTTCCCCTGAAACTGCTCCTCTTCCTCCTTCTGGCCCCGAGGCCCCCTGTCCTGTGGTACAGTATCCTTCTTTCTTTCTTCGCTCTAAATTCCTACATTCACTCGTTTCTCATCTATTACAGTGTTTCTTTTACTGCCTGAATATTCCTGTACCTTCCTAACATTGTCTCTTCTCCCACAATACATTGTAAGGTTTGCAGCCTTTACTGGCTGCCTGGTAGTATTTATCTTTACTGCTCAGCCCATAAACCTGTTTGCTGAAGGCAGAGACTGAAGTTCCCATTATAAATAGCTGCTGAGAGAGATTAGGGGTTTTGCATCTTATCTTAAGGAAAACAAGAAGTTACAAGTTATAAGCTAAAAACTCAGAAAAGGCTCTTAAAAAAAAGGGGTAGACATTACAAAAATGCTTAAGCTGCATATTCTAAAGGATTATATTCATTGATTAAAGGCTTGGTAATGATTGTGGCATTAGGGTTTTTTTTGTTTGTTTTAAGGCAATCGTTTTTATCAGATTTAAAGTCTGGTGTATTTTATATGTTTAAGTCTGAGATTATAGTATTGCAATAGCAAAAAAATATTTTCAAAGGCTCTTTCACCAAGTTGCTACAGGTATACGAAATTACTCTTATACAGAAATAACCATTTTGATCAAATACTAAGTTGTTTTCCCTATATGTTCTGGCATATTGAAAGTTGCTAATAAGGGTAAGGCATGGTTAGCTTTCCGATCAGGGAGAAAAAAAATATTAAAACCAGATACTGAGAGGTTAATACTTCAGTTTAAATGCATCAGACATCATTATTATGACATATTTGCTGGTCAGAGAAATAGATCCAAGCACCAACCCTCCACCTCTGTTTTCACCTGCAGGGACATGATGGGCTTCCAATACCAGGCTGTTGGCATAAGGTGAGTGTTTCAGCTTCGATTCTTGTTCTTAGTCAGTGGTCCCTGAGCTCATGAAAACTGTAGTTTGGAAATAAGGAAGAGTCAAAGTATACAAAGATGCCCTTTTAACTGATTATACACATACTGACTCTGATTTAATGCAGACACACTTTGTGAGTATATCAAAGCGTGGTTTTGAGTTTTTAATGATAAAGCATGTATTCTTGCCTTCCTTTAGTAGGCCACTTTAAAACTAATCAGTTTTGCCTTTTTTTTTTTTTTTTGCAGTGATGACTAACCAGCAGCATGGGACCTGTACATATTGATATGGTATATTTTGCAGCTGTATACTACCCCAACAACCTCTTTTTTTACCTTTTTTTAAAATAAAATCCTTTTATATAATATATTGAAAGATAAAGAATGAGGAAAGGTTTTTTTTTTTTCATGATGAAGTGTGAAAGCAGCAATGAACTGGCAGTGGGACTTTAAGCTTGAAGGACAGTCCAAATGTCAGTGTTGGAGTAGAAGAGTGCCTCACTAACAAAGTGTGACTGACATGCTGTAACCACAACCACAGAGGGGCTGTATGATGGTGTGTGTTCTCATCCAGATCTCACCGATGGATGGATGTTCAAAGGGGTGGGATTTTTTATTTTTTTTTGTTAAGATGGAGGATTGTGGTGTCAGCGCTCTCTTGTCCTCTTTTCTCTCTGTTTTCTTTTTCTACAAGGAGGAAATGGCGAGGCAGAAAATCAAACGCAAGCGTCTCTCTCAGCCCTGAAAGGAACGGATCCCGGCAGAGAGGGGATATATAAATTGGCAGAGAGTGTTTGGTTTTTTTTAAAAGGGGCTTTTTATGAAGCAGAGCTTCTTATCTGATGTGTTTGCGTCACACTCAGATCTTGCGTTACAGAGACTCTCCAGGAGGGGGCGACAGAACTCTGATTTTCCACATTCACCTGTGATGGGAAGGAAACCTGTTGCTGATGATGTTGCGCTGCAGCTGGATAACCAGCTGAAGTTTTCTGGGAGTCATTGACGTCTCTGGCACATAAGGAAGGAAATTACTGTGCAGATACTTTGTTGTCGAAGATTGTTGTAAAATATTAATGCATGGCCATGATGTTTAGCACCCTGACAGCTTGTGGGACATTTGATCAAACCCCAAATATTATTTTTTTCAATTTTTTTCCCCAGTTAACAGTCTTTCATTACACATAAAAGACTTCAGACCTACAGAAATATCATTAAGTCAACTATTGTAAAGCTTACGTGTGTTTTATTGGTTTTGCATATTGTTTTTTTTTTTTCTTCAGTTACAGTTTGCATTCCTGTGTATACTGCCTTGATTGCTGAGTAAAATTTGAAGGAACCGTTTATCAGTATTTTGGATCGGTCAGTGTTGCCATGGCAAAGAATCGCCCTCAGCTGATGCACTTCAACTTATAGGACTTCAGCTGCGAAGGAAGGCGGGATGGATTGCTGCTTACAGTATTTTGGACAACAGTAGAAGTTTCATGCTGCTGACTTAAATGTGTGTGTGAGTGTGTCTATATATTTGTGAATCAAAATTAACTCTGAATTTAAGAACAGTTATACTTAATAATGTCATTTGAACCAATCATATATGCAATAACTTTTCATTGGTCACAGCTTTTATTTTCTCTCAGATATATATGTTCTGGATGTGTTTTTTTTTTCTTTTTGCTGTATGGATTTTTAAAGTTACTACAAAAGCTGTCTTTGACGTGATGCTGGCAGCAGCTCTCTCAGATGGAAACATTCATTGGTGCTTACTCACATTGCAATTTAAACGCACACATCTGCAGTCTTTTAAAAACCTATTTCTACTGCTTGTTCTGCCTTGTACTTATACACTTTTAAATATATGAACATATTTGGAAACCGAGGGAGGATGGATACAGTAAACACAGATGCATTGGGGAACCTTTAAGTAAATTGATGTGTCCTTTTATGTTTTACCTGCCTACATGCAGTATTTTCTTTTAATTAAAAAATGTTTTCTCCTTTAACGTTACTGCAGTTTTTGGATTTCTACGGGTTTATTTAGAATTGAGAAGATTTGAGCACCATCTGCAGTGGTTCTAAAGACTATACATAGCCCTGTTAAAATGTTTTCTCTCTCTGTACTGTAAAGTAATTAGACTGTATTTTTTTAAAGAGTATTTTTATTTTTGATGTATTGTTTTTTTCCCTTTCAGAATTCACCTTAAAAACACATTTATTAGTGAAAAAACTAAAAAAAAAAAATTGCTAAAATAATTTGACATTTGGTATGATGCTACAGAAAAAAACTTTCACTATTGGTAAAAAGTATAATTAATGTTAGATTTATGTCAAACGTAGCTTATGGGTCATAAGACATTCTCCATCAATGATATAAAGTCCTGACATCAGCGTTATTTTGTAATGTCAGAAAACTAAGGCTATAACTGAAGGATGCGAACGAATAAGTGTGACTGAAAAAATCCTTCAAGAACAATAAACTGGATTAGATTAATTGTAAACATATTTACAAACAAAACAAACTATCTCATTTGTTTGCTTTTATTTCTTTAAAGTGAGATAGTCTACGTATTTTGAGAAACTCCTTTTGAAATGTGTGTTGAGTGAAAGTTAGAAAATGTTTGTAGATATGTGCTTAAGTTCAAAATACCCAGATTTCTTGTACAATTTTTGTCTTTATTCATATAAATCTATTTGATTTTTGGACCGAGAGTTTTAAGGTTTATACATCTTAGTTTAAACAGGATCAGATCTTAAAAATATTCAATTAAGAGAAGAAGGTTTCTGTATACAAGTACTTTAATCAGAACAACTCATCGAGTTATGCCAATATAAGCTGGTAATTATCTGCTTTATGTTTAATGCTTTTACAGATTCTGTTCAAACTATTTGCTTGTTATAATGGAGTTGAATTGTGATTAAAGTTTTACATCTTACTCAACCTAACTCTACATTGTTAGAATGACTTTGTGACATTTTTTTTCTCTGGTTGTGTATCTGCTTACAAAATATTCCATCTGTTCTTGCCAAACCAACATGTAGACAGAAAGAAACTTTCAAGTGTTATGAGGTTTTTTCATTATTATTCTCATTTATATGCAGTTGTTCTCTTTATTGATCAAACGGATATGCAAACTTAACTTAATAACTTTAAACTTTTATTAAACTGAATTTACAAGTGAGATCATTTTTAAATATACTATAGTAATATAGTATCTACTATACTATAATCATCAGTATTTGCTGATTATTAGGCATCAATCAGCATTACGCAGCAGCACATAGCAAAAATAGCCATAACTTCTGACTAGCTTTTTTCTTTTCATTGTTCCACATAACCAGCAACTTCCTTGTATTTTAATGTGATTTTATGTGATAAGACAAACACAAAGCAAGACATAATTGTGAAATGGAATAAAAATGATATGTGCTTTTCAAATCATTTAGACAATAAAAATGGGAACTGTTTGGAGTGCATTTGCGTTCGGTCCATGTTTATTTGGAGTCTGTGTAAATAAATCTGGTACAGGCTGTTAGGTTCAGAAAAAGTAGGTTTGTAAAAGAGAAACTGAGTCTACACAGGAAAGAGATTCAAGCAGCTTCTGCAGGGTTGGAAAGAAAAAGCCCAACCCAACTTTAAGCTTTCTTTCTCCTAATCCTCTCCTGCAGCCGTCTTTTATTAACAGAACATAACACATGGTTACAAAACAGTATTTGTTCTGACAGAACAATTGATCAGTTCATAAAGACAGCATGCTCCACCAGAATGACAAGGCAAGATGATCTCCTGACTGAATCACAAGACACAGTGGAGCATCCCCTTGCACAAATGTTTCATAAGCATACATTAATTTTATAATCATCATTGAATAAACCTAACACAGACCTTAAACCAGGGTTCTTCTGAGATTCCCCTGCCTCCATCCGACCAAATTCCATCTCCATTACAAAAAGCATTCCCAAAGCACGATGCTGCCATCAACAAAGTTCCAGTTTTGTAGTGTTAGAAGCGGTCGTTTTCAACACTAGTATTTAGGTCTGTAAAATATTCACTGTTTAATTTGACAAGAGTATCTTTTTACAGAATTTTGTTGAGTCCTCTAAATAGCTTGTGACAAACTCTAGATATAATGGCCTTTTTCCTTACATTGACCTTCTTCCAACTTTTTCATAATAGAGAGGTTTGTAGTGTACACCATCAAATGGTAAATGGCCTGTACTTATATTGTGCTTTTTTGAAGTCAGAGGATGTCACTGAAAACCAGAGCTGGGGCTTGAACCGACAACCCTCTTATTGCAGGGCAAACTCCTTCATCCACCGCCATTGTCGTCCAGAAGATTAGCCAGTGTTCTGTTGGTAGCTTATCCCACCTGAAGTGTGGCTCTCTGCAGCTCCTCCAGAGCCACCGTGAGCCTCTTGGCTTTTTCTCTGAACATACTCTCATTGGCCGGTCTTTAAGTTGAGGTTGACAGCCACGTCTTTGTGCATTTACAATTATACCATACTTCTTTTTTCAGATATGTTTTGTTTGGTGCTGAGAGGTTTAGACTTTTGATGCTGTTTCATTTCCTAATCATCCTTTGAAATTCTCCACAACTTTATACTCGACCTGTTTAGCAAATCTGTTGATCTTCAGGATGCCTTTTGTTAACAGATGATGCAAGGGTTGGTGGATCTTGTCTTTGATCCACTTGAACTGGTCAGTAATGCCATGCTGTGGGCGGGTTAATCATCATCAGTGCTTCTACAGAACTCTCACCATTTATACATACTTACTACAAAAGATTAAGTCGTACAGAAATTATCCAGTTGTCATTTTTTATCAGAAAACTTCCTATATACAACCTATACACAAACAACCAAAGGGCTAAAACTCCTTATTTTAATGGCTTTTAGTCCATATTTAGATAGAAGACCCTGGACAGGTCACTCTAAAATATAGGCATACAACACACACACACACACACACACACACACACACACACACACACACACACACACACACACACACACACACCTAAGAGGTGATCTAGAGACATGAATCAACCTAGCAGTCATGTTTTTGGACTGTGGTAGGGAGCCATTGTACCAAAACAAGGGACAATGTGCAGTGTGAAAATGCAATCTCCAGACAGAAAGATCCTAGACCAGGAATCAAACCCAGGACTTTATTGCTGCAAGGCAACAGGGCAACAAAATGCACCACTGTGCAGTTAGTGTTAGTTATCTGGTATATAGGAATATTTTACACCGCATTGACAATGCATTACTTTTTCACATGCAACTACTGTAGATTTAAAAACAGAAGAAAAATACTTAAAATATTGAATAAATTCTAATATGAATTCTTTTTTTGAAAAGGAATATATAAGCACATGTTCATATTACCCTCAAATTAAAATTGCTTAAATCACATACGGACAAGTGTAGTGTTACATAATGCACGGACACTGACTTAAATATAGTTATTAATGCACAAAAGCTACTATTCTGACCTAGACTGTTCAAAATGGCTTCAGATTTTACTGGCTGAAACTAAATAATTTTTAATCCCATTCTCTGGGCTCTTGAGATTATTCAAATGTTGATATATATTTAACATTTTTTCACTTAAATTATATCAGAGCAGAGATGTAAAATGAGACACAGAGATGCAAATGCAGGACAGTGGCTCTCGTGGACTGGACTCCCTTTTAGCAGGAAGAAACCTCCAGCAGAACCAGGCTCAGTGAGAGCGGCCATCTGCCGAGGCCGACTGGGGTTCAAGGAGACAGAAGCAGAGATACAAAAAGCAGCTGTAAAAGATGGCCTGGTCCAGGAAACACACAAGCTCTGAGCCAGCTCCCATGTCAGAGGATGAAGAGAGCACATCCAGCCAGTCACAGTCAGAGAAACAGGACTACACTGGAAAAACAAGCCAACCTCCAACATCTATAAACAAACGTGTTGATGGCAGCAGCACATTTCAATATCAACCTGATATAGCACACAGTGTTTCACATCTCACACCATTTCTACATTTATTTTCGTTGAATCTGCAATTATTACAAGAGCTAAAATGTTCTAGATAGGTAATATGAAATAACGTTTGGGGGTTTTTATGAATGAAGAAAAAGAAAAAAACAGTTTGATACAAGTCCTGTTGTCTTACTGTTTTAAAGCACCTTAAACTGCCTTGAGATGACAGGTGTTGTGAATTGGTGCTATATAAATAAACCGAATTGAATTGAATTTAAATATTTTCCACCAAAATGTGTGGTTTTACTTTTACTATGAAAAGTAAAAAAAAAAAAGAATAAATAAATAAAAAATTTTTTAAAAAGATGATGTTCAGAACCTTGCCCGAAAAATCTAGTGTAATATCCCTATCTAAGAGCCTCAGAGCGATAAAAGACAGCATATCCCAGAATCCTTTGCGGAGCTTTCACCCCTCTGAAAGGGTTTGCATCCGGGTCCGTTCTTCCTTTTCCTCCGTGCCTAGATGCGATGAGGACTTAGGTTTCCCCGGACCTCTCAAGAATCCGAATCCATCCTTGTGATAGGCACCACCAAACCTCGCCAAAATGACCGAGCAGATGACAGTGAGGGGGACCCTGAAGGGCCACAGTGGATGGGTCACCCAGATCGCCACTACGCCCCAGTACCCCGACATGATTCTGTCGGCGTCCCGAGGTGAGGCTTCCCCCGCCGGCTCCGCCAACATGGCTACAGCTAGCATAGCGCAGCTAACCACTCTTCAAACTATCAATTAAAATAGACAGAATTAAGTTGGCGATAGTCAGCTGTGACCGTTACACAGTAAAACGTGCCCTATATATTTAGTCTTTGTTAACTTTTAGCATTCACAAACGAAATGGGGAAAATTCAGTTAGGTTAGCTAGCTTATGCTATGTGGCGTCATCAATTTTAGAGCTTTGACCTGAAACGTTTTGAAAAGACTAACGTTGCCTTTTATGCATCAAAGAAAAACATTGATGTTGAATAAAATGTAATGTTTCCACATGTATTGATGAAGCCCTGATCAGATCAAACCAGCCATGCTAGCTAGCCTTGTGTGTTTGGGTGATAATGACATGCCTCCCCATGAATTAATGTTTCTGTGTTTTATGTTTCCTCCCAGACAAGTCCATCATCATGTGGAAGCTGACCCGTGATGAGACCAACTATGGCATCCCCCAGCGCTCCCTGAGGGGCCACTCTCACTTTGTGAGTGATGTTGTCATCTCCTCAGATGGCCAGTTTGCTCTCTCTGGAGCCTGGGATGGCACCCTCCGCCTGTGGGACCTTACCACGTAAGTAACCATCATATGAGATATTTCCCCTGGTTCCTGCAGAAGACATGGGAGCAGGAACCAGTCTAAAACACGCATGACATCCCTGTCTGTGTTTCAATGTAGGAATTATGAATGGCTTTAAACTTGCAGCTCCTTGATTGATTAGACACATGTATCAATCTAAGGTGATGGCATGAATGCACACTAGTGAAAATGCAAATGTCTAAGTTGGGTGTATGCTTTTGTTTTGACACCCACAATTTTAAGAAATGTAATTTGAAAACTGATCTCCATCCTAGCATCAGTTTGAATTGCAGCAATAAGGAGGTTGAACCTGAAAAGTTAAGGATTTCAGAAACTCATGTGTTTTCTCAGGTAATATTGTTGCAGTGGTCAAATCTGTTCAGTCCTCTAGTGCTTTTTTGGTTTTAGGTATTGAAATGTTGTCAAATAATGAGCTAAACAAATTTATTTAAAATGTGAAGTGCCTTTTTTTTTCAGCATTGGGAAAATTGAGGGAACTTAGTAGTTATGGTCATACTTTAATACTTTTGAGTTTTGTTAGAAGCTTTTAACTTCTATGTATAAAAATAGGTAATTGGAAGACAGAAATTGTGTTTAGCCTTTCAAAATAGGAGTCAGTGTTTAATACTGGTGATAAACAATTCATTCTTTATTGTAACTGAATGTGACGGATTGTTTAACCGTTATTTTGTTTTTCTCCAGTGGTGCCACCACCCGCCAGTTTGTTGGACACAACAAGGATGTTTTGAGCGTGGCTTTCTCTGCCGACAACCGCCAGATTGTGTCTGGCTCTCGGGACAAGACCATCAAGCTGTGGAACACCCTGGGAGTCTGCAAGTACACCATTCAGGTGAGCGACGAGCAGAGGTAGCAGCCTGGTAGATGGGTTTGAATTGTTGCACCCTACAGCTGTCAAATGCCATCTTCTCATTTGCAAATGGGGACTAAATGTTTGCTGTATTAAGTGACCAACTGTCCAAAGAACTCAAGTTGATCTGTTGTCGTTGGGGTTGTTTTGCAGGATGAAGGCCACTCTGAATGGGTGTCTTGTGTTCGCTTCTCCCCCAATAGCAGCAACCCAATTATTGTCTCCTGTGGCTGGGACAAGATGGTCAAGGTTTGTTCCTGTATTTTTTTTAATCCTCTTTTTCACCTATTTGCTCCATGATTTTACAATGTTTGCATGTATTATCCAAAATACTCTGTGAGGAGATAATTAATTTAATGAGAGCACAGATCTTGACTCCATTTGATTATTTTTTATTATTTTTTGCCATTGTGAATGTGATGATCATCCTCTCTGCCTTCTAGGTGTGGAACCTGGCCAACTGCAAGCTGAAGACCAACCACATTGGCCACACCGGCTACCTGAACACAGTGACAGTCTCTCCTGACGGCTCCCTGTGTGCTTCTGGTGGAAAGGTAATCATTACTGATTTGTGTCCTAGCAGAAAAAAATCCCACTTTCCCCATTTGGGTGTGAAAAATGGGATTAGCTTCAAGGTTTTGCTGTGATGGAAAACTAAAAAAATGCATCTGTTTTTATATGATGATATAAGAGGCTGTTTCTGAGCGATTGCTAGTAGTGATGGAGATGAAGAGCCGCTGGGATTTATGTTACTGAAGTTTTGTTTTCCTGCTCAGGACGGCCAGGCCATGCTGTGGGACCTGAATGAAGGCAAACACCTCTACACCCTGGATAGCGGTGACATCATCAATGCCCTGTGCTTCAGCCCTAACCGTTACTGGCTCTGTGCAGCCACTGGGCCCAGCATCAAGATCTGGGTAGGTCTTCATGATGAATATTTCCTGGTTAAGTTTGGCGGTGATGAAACCTACACATGCTAGCTGTATTTTTATGATGATACCAGAGGCTGTTTCTGAGCTTTTTATCTTCCAGCTTTATTTATTCTTTTAAGTTGTGCGTTCCCATTGATGAAAATGTTTATCTTGTGGTCACCATTTCCACCTTGCAGGATCTGGAGGGTAAGATCATTGTGGATGAGCTGAGACAGGAAGTGATCAGCACAAACAGCAAGGCTGAACCCCCACAGTGCACCTCCTTGGCTTGGTCTGCTGATGGACAGGTATTTGATGCTTGGCTCTTTAAAGGGGGGTGTCTTAATGACTTGTTGGTCCCTGATGATTATACCCATTCACTTTTAATTCTGACTTTCACTGCTGACAGTCCTGCAAATATGAGGGGCACCAGGGGAAGAACCTTAAATGTGTTTGCTAACTCTAAAAAGGAGCAGGATGTAGTTTTAACTTCTTATCCTCCTATTTCTTCACAGACCCTGTTTGCTGGCTACACTGACAACCTTATCAGAGTGTGGCAGGTTACTATTGGAACACGATAGGAACCCCTTGGAGAAGAAACTTTGAATAAAGACTGTTTAAGAAAATTTGCAAGTCTGGGTCTCAAGTTTTTAAAAATATTTTTTTCATATATTTCAGTGGAAACATAAGTTGGGGAGATTTGGCATTATAGGATGGCCCTTCCTAACCATTTTGCCTAAATTCTACAGCTGGTGACTTTTTAATACTTTTTTCATGCTTGAAATTATGGAAGATGAGAAGGTGCCTACAACAAAGGTCCTCTGTCTTAAGCAAGCACTGTTGCTGGCCTTTAATTTTCCTTTGTAATCATGAGAAATTACTTATTTACAAGGTAAACTGAGCGAATTAGCTGCAGTATAGAGCAAAACTATGGATGATTGAATTACACCTGCCCATGTGGAACAATTCCCATCTGGCTACTTTGTTTTATGTAAACCTTTAAGGGACCTGGACCTATATAGAGGTGGGTAAGAACTGGCTACTTGTATTCAGTGACATTTAGTAACTTGGAAGATGAAGTACTTTTGGGACTAGTTTTACATCATTGTACTCGAGTGAAAATTTTACCATTAAAGTTAATTTCTGGTTATATCCAGTAACCTTAAAAAAATAAAAAAAAAAAAACAGCTGGCTTTGAATAAATGTGCACCATTGAGACACTTTTTTTTTTTTTTTTTTTTTTTTGTACTGAATGCTGTTTGGTTAATGTTTGTGTGAAAATACAGTAAATAGCCTACCATAGTTTACCTTGCATACTGTAACTTGATCTCAACTGTATTTTGAATGTTCATTCCTCAATTTCTTTAGTGTAATTGTTTAATCTTTTAAACACTAGAACCCCTTAATGATTTTTATTAAATATCTAATTGCTTATGATCATAGGCAGTAAGTAGATCAACTACTTAGCACTTGAGTAGCCTTTGTACCAAATAATTTGGTAATTTATTTAAAGTCTACATTTTACTGAAGTTAAAATATGATCAGGTAGTTTTACGATTTTTGGGATACTTGGCCCACCTATGAATAATAAACTATTCATGTTTGTGAATTGGGAATCAGCTGGACATGCTTTAAACATAAAAGCTTCAGTATCTTTGGTATTCATCCATTCTTACAGTATTAATATGATCAAATTGAGATTGCACATTTGTGTGGAGAAAATTAAAATGTGCAGTAGCCTTATTGGATCAGTGAGAGATTGCCACAAGGGTGGCTGCTGCAACTGCAGGACCCGACCCCTTCCTTTAGGTTTTGATATTTGCTAGAAAAGACAAAAATAAATGGCAATGCTATAAATCTATTTAATGCTTTCCTATTGTTGCAAAATACACTCATATTTACAATTACAGAAATGTTTAGTGTCTCATTTATAAAGTGCTCTAAATCATTAGGAACAATAAAAAAAATCAAAATATATTTGAAAAAACTAATTGTAACGGCAGATACTGATTTCAACTGCAATATATTGGGCATCCCTGCATATATACATTTTCAAATAGGAAAACCATCCATCCATTGTGGTATGAAAAACTGAAAGGTACTAAAACAAAGACTAAATTATGATTCCCCAATAGATGGATGGCTTCCATTTCATCTGTATCATTAGTATCCCCCTTCTCAAGAAGCAAAACTTATTTAGAGTTTTGTCACATATCTTTGACAGTCTGAATTATGAAGGTTGATTAACAAATCTTTGATTTTTACTATATGTTTGTGCTTTGAATTTGTAGGTTTCTTAAATTTAAGTCTCCAATTGCCAGGGTGGCTCTGCAGCTGAGTTGGCTTCTACAGCTATTTCTGAGTCTTGCTGATTTACAAGAGACAAAAGTACATTTTAAATATAAAATCTTTTTTCTTGTCAAATATTTCTGAGGTTTTATTGCATGTTTCATATCAGAGTAAATCTTTTTTATCTTTAAATCTGAAGCTGCCCCTGCTTCTGTGCCTGTGCTCTGCTGAAAAACACATGACATTAAGACGTCAACTAATATAATGATGTTAGGCTTTTGTTGGGCTATTCTATAAAGCCTGGAGATCCAAACTAAAGACATTTTGAACAGAAAAGCTTTCTGGATGGAAGCAAAACGCCTTCAAACTTGGGGAAAAAAAGTTGAATTTTTTTTTTTTAAACTTATTTTGGCTCTGACCTGGATGACTGAGAATCTTCACCATTATTATAATTTTGCTCTATTTAGCCAACCCTAAAATTTAAACAAAAAATAAACGCTGACATAAAAAGACGCAAGCGTTTTCAACATTAAATGGGATATTATACATATACTGACCATCTAATGATTACCATTCTCCCTGTTCAACTTCCTTTAAAGGCCTCATACAGCTTTCACTTACTGTCAGTTATGTTAATTATAACAGCAAATATAAAACATGACCGCGTGCTTTACTCCAGAAGGAAACCTACTGACTAACCGATAAAAAAGGAAATTCATGTTTACCTTAAAAGCTGATGGTTGGATTTTTGCTAGATATATCTTACTTTAACATTAATCTAGTGACTCCAATGGGATACACAAATATGTTTCTGAACTAGTGGTAAACATTAGAACAACATAACACGGGCTCAAACTTTCAAGATTTTCTTTTATTGTATAATTTTCTTAACTGTAGAAATACATTTGGACGAATAAATAACTCAAACATTAATATAACATTCCCTCCACTGATTCAAACAACGCAAGGATTTTTAAAAAATGAGTGAATACACTAAATATTTGTAACATTGGTTGTAATCTGAGAGTGCTTTAAAATAAAATGTTAATTGGCGCTGTATAAATAAGCTCAATTGAACCTTTGGAAATTCCTGAATCAACAAAATGAGATGCAAATCTGGTGAGAGTAGAGTTTTAAAAAGATAAAGTTGCACAGCCAATATGCTTTTAAATTTACACTGCACCTATGCTGATAAATGACCTTCTGGTGCTGTTTATACACTTTACCTGATATCTTTAAGGTGGTCTAAATTGTTTCCTTCTTTAATAAAACCAAGCCCAATTTACTTTTTCTGTGAAAAATTATTTTGATGTCTCATTGTGTATGTTTTCTTTCTTTACTGCTCTCTTTGGGTACTGATGAGAAACTGCGATCTATAACAAAGCCGAATAAAGATGCAAAACGTCACTTTGAAAAGTTACGAATTTACTTTATCATATTGAGACTTCTTATGTCATATATACATAGAGTATAATTCAAGGATTTGTTCGCCATTTAGTTGAACAGGCAAACCATAAGAAGGCCACGAGATGTCGCTGTTTGGTGTTAAACAAGCGACGCAACCAAAGAAGAAGAAGAAGAAGCAGCGGCAGTGACCCGGATGAGGAGATGATAAAAAGGCAGCAGGCCTAGCCTCGTCCTTTTTTCCTGTGGAGCTATCCACGTTGGTAGCATCTCCTCCTGACTCACCGCTGTTCGCTGAAATTTCTTCCGAATAAGTCGGTCGGGAATCACAAAAATGGTATATTTTATTTCATTATATTGATTTATAACGTATAAATTGAGTTTGAAATTGCTATAGTTTGATTTGCTGCTCACTTTTGTAAAAGTCTTCAGCAGGAAGACTTTTTCGCCGACTGTACTTTAAAACAAAAAACCGAAGCAGGTCCATTCCTTGCGGTGGGGAGTCGTTACGGTCGATGTTGGCCTGGCTTACCCAGGGCGATGTTTCTGGTAAATGCAAAACATCGCACAGGTGCTTATCTGAGTGAAGTTTTGAGTCACTCCGGCCACCGTAGGTGGTCATAACATCGCTCTGATGTATGTAAAAGTCGGTCCGATGCTTAAGGTAAGCCATGCCAATAACGACCCTAATAACTTCCCAAATACAAGTGGTGGACCTGCTTCTGATCAGTTTCTAAGCCGCAGGTCTTCAACAGGGGGTCCGCTACCCCTAGGGGGCCCATGGAGGTACTGCATGGGGGTCGCGAAAATTTTGCTTAACTAGACCTTTTTTTAATATTCCCCCCAGCAAATCTTTCCACTAATTAGATTGTCTTCAAATCCACATTAACATGAATTCAACACACTGTAGTAAACAGCTAAAGTAGGTAGAATATGTCTTTCACTTATCAATGCATACAGGAGCTCTTTCAAGCTGGGCACAGTTTCATTCACACCACCTGTCCCATCAACCAGGAGTCAGAATCAGAAATACTCCCAGGGAGAAATCAGTTTTGGGGTCCTTGGCCTGCAAAACGTTGAAGACCTCTGTTCTAAGCCACAACAAGGCTTTTCTTGAGCAATTCTATGAAGCCTGGAGATCGACACCACTCCAGACATTTTGAACTAAGAAAGCTTTCTGGATGGAAGTGAAACGTCTTTATCCTGGGGGAAAAAAGGGGGATGGTTTGTGACTATGACCTGGATGACTGAGAATCTTCGCTAACATTATAATTTTTGCTCTATTTAGCCAATCCTAACATTTAAACAAAAAGTTTACCCTGACATAAAAAAAAACTATCATTTTCAAGATTAAACGGGTTATTATGCATTTATTCACCATCTAATGATTACATTTCTCGCTGAATAACTTAAAAATGCTGCTTAACAAGTGATCTTATCGTCTGTTAAACCCGTTGAATAGCTCTGATATGATCCAATCTTTTAAGTCTCAGTGAACACAGGTGAGATTGTTTTAGATGTGGCAAGTTTTTGTTTACTTCAAGTTGAGATGAGATTTTAAACTAGTTTTCGCCCTAATAGCAACTGGTTTGATATATCTTCGTTTTATGAGAGCGACTGTGAAAATAGAGATGTATACTTTGTTTGTTTACCTTAGTATAATTAATCATGTGCACATATTAATAAAGATGCAATCTGAACATTTAAGGTTGCATTAGAGCAGCTGCTTCTGCGAATGAAGATGTTTGGGTTTTCTTCTACTGCAGGCCTTTAAGGACTCTGGCAAGGCACCTGCTGAGACTGAGGTTGCTATCCATCGCATCCGTATCACCCTCACCAGCCGCAACGTCAAATCCCTGGAGAAAGGTAACCGATCTCCCATTTAATCGGGTGTGTGAAAGAAACTGAAGCAATGAGGATAAAAAATTTTATCAGTCATTAACTGTGGTGACCAAATACGCTATTCTGAGCTGTGGGATGAAGTTAACACAATGTATTAGTTGTACTTTGGATGTTAAATCATTTTGGGTTTATTTTTTTTAGTCTGTGCTGATTTGATCCGTGGTGCCAAGGAGAAGAGCCTGAAGGTGAAGGGACCAGTCCGCATGCCAACCAAGGTACAGAGTTTTCTTTTAAATATGCTTCTCCTTCTCTAGTTTTTGACAGATTCATATAAACTCTGAAATTCCTTTTGGTTTATATCTGAAAGCTCATTTGCACCTTTGGTCCACCTCTAGACTCTGCGCATCACCACCAGGAAGACTCCCTGCGGTGAGGGGTCCAAAACCTGGGATCGCTTCCAGATGAGGATCCACAAGCGCCTGATAGACCTGCACAGTCCGTCTGAAATTGTCAAGCAGATCACCTCCATCAGCATCGAACCAGGCGTAGAGGTTGAAGTCACCATTGCAGATGCATAAGCAGTTCTGTTTTCAATAAAGAGATAAAAGAAGTCATTGACTCCTGTGTCTGAAACTTTTATACCCGATAACCATAAAGTAGAAAATTTGTCAAAATCATAAAAAAATCGGTGTTGGGTTAGATGATTTTACCTGACCTCTTGAGGCATCAATGTTTTTATAGACAAAATTAGAAAATTCCAGCATTTTGAACCAAAGATTCAGCTTTTAAAGTGACTTTAAAAATAGGCCAAGAAATGAAGTGCAGTTTTGAAGAGAATGTAACATTGAGGTGTAAATCATAACCTGATTCACTACATTATTTCAATTGGGGTTACTTTAAATTCCCATAATTGCTCCTTACCCCTTTCAGAACCCTATGTGTTTATTACTCTGGACTGAAATGTGTGAGGGAGGGCACTAGTGTTACACCCATCCATCCATCTTCCTCCGCTTATCCGGGGTCGGGTCGCGGGGGCAGCAGCTTAAGAAGTGAGGCCCAGACTTCCCTCTCCCCAGCCACTTCTTCCAGCTCTTCAGGAGGAACCCCAAGGCGTTCCCAGGCCAGCCGAGAAACAGTCTCTCCAGCGTGTCCTGGGTCTTCCCCGGGGTGGGACGTGCCCGGAACACCTCACCAGGGAGGCGTCCAGGAGGCATCCTAGACAGATGCCCGAGCCACCTCAACTGGCTCTTCTCGACGTGGAGGAGCAGCGGCTCTACTCCGAGTCCCTCCCGGATGACCGAGCTTCTCACCCTATCTCTAAGGGAGAGCCCAGCCACCCTACGGAGGAAACCCATTTCCGCCGCTTGTATCCGCGATCTCTTTCTTTCGGTCATGACCCAGAGTTCATGGCCAGAGATGAGGGTAGGAACATAGATCGACCAGTAAATTGAGAGCTTTGCTTTATGACTCAGCTCTCTTCACCACGACGGACCGGTACAGCGCCCGCTTCACGGCAGACGCTGCACCAATCCGCCTGTCGATCTCCCGCTCCCTTAGTGTTACACCCATAGAGATAATATACCGGTACATGGTGTTAAACATGTCAAAGTAAATTGACTTGGTGTTATTACAACTGGAGTAAGAAACACTATATAGAGTTAACACAAATCTAGAGTTGCACCAAATGCACTTGGATTGGTGTTAAATTTAACTCTCAAAGTTTTACTTAAAGAGTTCAACATTTAATGTGTAGACCAGTCACTGGGCGGGGTCTGCCTATGCTGTGAATGAGTCAATGTGTCTGCCATGTTGAATTTGGCAAATGTGCTGTCAGACTCAGCTAAACATTATCAGACGGACTTAAATCTCAGCATACAGGCCCTTTGAAAAATATTAGCATATTGTGATAAAGCTAATTATTTTCCATAATGTAACAATAAAACTTGAACATTCATATATTTTAGATTCATTGCACACTAACTGAAATATTTCAGGTCTTTTATTGTCTTAACATGGATGATTTTGGCATTCAGCTCATGAAAACCCAAAATTCCTATCTCTCAAAATTAGCATATTTCATCCAACCAATAAAAGAAAAGTGTTCTTAATACAAAAAAAAAGTCAACCTTCAAATAATTATGTACAGTTATGCAATCAATACTTGGTCAGGAATCCTTTTGCAGAAATGACTGCTTCAATGCGGCGTAGCATGGAGGCAATCAACCTGTGGCACTGTTAATATTTTGAGAAGGACCTGTATACTTTATTTTTGTAATATGAATTTATTTTTATCTCTTTGGCTTCATTCTCCCGAGTTTATTCTTGTAAAGAATAAAGATAATTAAGATAACCTGGCCCTAACTGAAATAGTTCTGCAAATGATGACTGTCCTGGAAATGTACCCTTAATTATATGACGTTTTTTTTCCCTAGGACTTTCTTTTTTTCTTTTTCCCTTCTTTTTCCCACTGTGATGTAATTCACTATTGTAAATATTGTGCATTTGTACTGGTTTGCAGGACAAACTAAAAAAGTTACAAATTGTCCTTCGCAAGTCGCCGTAGTTATCTGGTATCATAGCAACCAAGGTTCGTGTGCGGATGCGTTTTTTTCCCCCACTGTCTGCTTCATCTATAACTATTTAAATAATAGTATCGATTCACTTGCAATCAATCTAGGAGTGGATCTACGCACTAAACGTCTATTTTGTGTTTGGATTTAGCTAAAGTTGTCACACTTTAGCGCCAGCTAGCAGAGGGAAATGGACCAAACTTCAGAGCAACGTATTTACGTTGAAAGAACGCTGGCTATCATCAAACCTGACGCTGTTCAGAAATCAGAGGAGATCGAAGACGTTATTCTGAGGTCAGGCTTCATTATTCTGCAGGTTGGTAGAACATTGAAACACTAAGGTTTGTTTACACTATAATCAATGTATCGCAAAATAAAACATTGATTGTTTTATTTGTGATTGTGATTCAGTACTGAAGATAATTGAATTTCTAACGTTTATGGAGCATTGATCGTTGAACCTTTTGTCCACTAGAGGGCAATAGTAAGCTCGTCTGACCTAAAGCAAGTGACTCCCCATTGGACAGACAATTTGTTGTGGCTAATTTAATCATAAATTATGCTAAAATTATAAAATATGTACAATATAAACGTTATAGAATTAGTCATTGTATCTAGGCTGTATAACATTTGGATACATGTTCTTGCAACAACGACAAAAAAACATAAAAAGGGTATTGTTCAGTCCTTACATGCAAAAACATATCTATAAACAATTTATAGGATTTCTAGGCTTGTCTTGGGGAAATACCCTGGTGCACACATGATGGATGGATGGATGGATGGATGGATGGATGGATGGATGGATGGATGGATGGATGGATGGATTCAGGGTTGTGCTTTAAAGGCCTATTTTTGACAAACCAAATTTGCCGGATAATTACCTCACTGTAAGAAAATCATAATTTCATATTTATAGATCTTTATGAAATAGAACTTCGTGTTATTGGTATATTAAAATCCATCAGAATGCATACAGGATCCTTTAATCTTCAAGATGTAAAATACTGATATAATGCACAGTTTACGCTGATCAAAATTTATGTCAGGCTAAACATTTTTTTTAAGTCAGACATAAAAAGTTAATTAAATCAGAATAACAACAAAAAACAAACAAACTGAAGTATCAGATCTGAGGTACCCATGTGAAAAATCTTGTCTTTCTAAAAGTCATTTAACCCGTCTGGATCGTCTCACAATAATGAATTATTCCTTTTGTAGAAGAAGAGGCTGCAGCTGAGTCCTGAGCAATGCAGTGAGTTTTATGCACACCAGTACGGAACCTTCTTCTTCCCCAGTCTGACGGCCTTCATGAGCTCTGGCCCCATTGTTGCCATGATACTGGCTCGGGACAACGCTATTGCTCACTGGAAATCCATAATAGGGCCTGACAACATCTCCAAAACCAGACAAACTCATCCGGAATGGTCAGTCTGAAATGCAACTCTTTGTGCATTTTACATGTTTAAAGAAAACTGGGTTAATACAATTTTTTTTGGTTGATTCAGTGAAATTCATAATTACAGAAAAAAATTGATGATTACCAATTGATGATTATCTGTCTTTGACAGATTTATTTGGTCATTTTATATACACAAGTGTAAACAAAAATAAATTTCGTTTAGAACAGCTCTCTAGACAATATCCTTTTTTAAAATTGCAGCCTTGATAAGGTAAATATTAAATAATGATTAAAAACACCTTTGAAACAAAAATGCTCTGTCATGACTCGCCCTTTATACTTATGGAAGAGGCTTGACTATTACACATGCTGCATCCAGGCATATTAATCAAAAGTTGAGTGGAAGGAAAAAATGCAGTAGAAATGTTTTGAAACCATGGATGTAACTTCGGAATGACTTTTAGGCAAATTATATTCAAGAGCTTGTGGAGATTAAAAAAAGCCTTAGCATGTCGAAATTAGCAATTTATCAGCAACCATCCTTAACTAAGACTACCACTGTCCCTTTTCTTGTCTTATCACTCAAGGAGTCGTTTCTTTCTACTTACAAACTTCATAGAGATTTTGATTTGGCCACACACTCCTGAAAGTAAACCAGTTTGACTGAAATCAGTGTACCGAAACTGTCCTGGTTCTAGTAAAATGCCTGTTGACCCTCATTGAATCTAATATTTGATCTATTTTTACCTATCTATCTCCAATGTTTTAGCCTTAGAGCAAAATATGGGACTTCTGACCTTCAGAATGCTCTTCATGGCAGCGACTCATTTCTCACAGCAGTGAGGGAGATTCAATTCATGTTTCCAAACAGTATGTAGTTTGCTCCGTCAAAATTCTCGTCGCTCACAGAGTTTGAGGTGCTGAACCCAGTGCAATTTCTCACTGCAGCTGTAAATGAGCCCCTTTCAACCATAGAGGAAACTGAGGAGTATCTGAGCAGGAACGTGATTCCAGTTCTCCACCGAGGACTCACTGAGCTCTGTAAGGAAAAGCCTTCCAAACCCTGTGTAAGTATTGATGCCCGGTGTGTTCAAAGCTTCATACGCAAAACCGACGTGGTTGTAAGCTTGTGCATCTTTGCTCTTCTCAATAGATATGGCTTGCTGACTGGCTCCTGAAGAATGATCCCAACCAGCCTCAAATATGTGATGTGGAAGATCAGAACTGATGGCCAGAGAGCAAAATAAGGAGGGAAGGATTACACTACTTTTATGTCTATTTGCATTTGATTAATCTGTCTGTTCAGTGTTAAACATGTAAATATTTGATAGCAGTCAAGTATTTTGGTGGTTTTCTCAAGTATATCAGATATTTTTGCTTTTTATTTTAATATATTATTTGACATAATAAAAAGTAGCCAGTGGGTTTAAAGTAAGATGGATATATTAATAAATAACATACTTTAAAATGCAATGGTGTTATAAAAATTTCATATTTAACCCGCAGTTAGAGCTTCACGAAACACAGCAGTGACAGGCAGCACTAAGAGTCTTTGAAAACATAAATGATGGACAGCAGTCCCCTTATTTATTTATAGAAAAACCAGATATTTGCATCGAGTCATTAATTTTGCAGCAATCCCTCACATGGAGCAAGCAGGCAGTGACAGAGGAGAGAAAAACAAACAAACATCTTAACAGGGTAAAAACCCCTGCAGAAACAGGCTCAGTGTGAGTATCCTTCTACCGAGGCCGACTGGAGCTCAGGTAGACAAGCAGACATACCAAAGGAAGAGAAACACTGATGCAGAAATACTTTTTCTCTTAGAGAAGGTAAGAGAAGACTAACACCATAAGTGTTGCTGTCTAGGAAAGAAACTGTGCAAAAGATGAGCTCTGAGACCATATTTAATGTCAGAAAGGGTGAAAGAGAGCACATACAGTTAGTCACAGTAAAAGCTAATTTTGCTACATTGGGGGAGGTTACTGTTTCTGATATAAGACTGACCATGTTGAAAATATCAGAATAAATGTGGATCATATCCTATCTTCACATCATACAGCGTTTCTACATTCTGTTACATTACAACCTTAAACTTAAATGGATTTTAGTAGTAAAATGGTACATGGGTGACACAAAAAATTATGAAAATGTATGGTTTTTACTTTTTTTTACAGATGAAAAATTATAAAGTTAAGTGTGCATTTAAATTTAGCCACTTTTATTCTTACACTTGAATATATCCAGTTATCTTTACAAGTAGGTTGAAATCAACCAATATGTTATTTGATCCCAGTTTAGGTTTAATTTAATAATCAAGACCTAAGGTTTACTAAAGAGCTCTTAACCTGTTCCCTTCCTCATAATGCTCCTACTCATTAAAGTAGTGCAGATTAAATAAGTAAACTAAAAGCTGTTAAACATGTTATAAATATAGTATCCTTATACCACAATTGCATATTCTTGTGTATATTCTCTCTTCAGACTTTTAGCAGTACAATAACTGTCGGTTAATATATTTCAGGCATCATGAGTTCATACCACGCATACCAATGTTAGTCCAGCTGAAAACAGAAGTGAGACTAAAGAATTTGCATCAATAGATGCTCTCCAGTCTCTCTGACAAAATTTTAGCTGTAAGACAAAGAAAAAGTGCAACCTTTTTAGTTTCTAGTTGCATCTGTCACTTAAAAAAAAACAACTTCCCAATGCCAGCCACCACAAGAGCAGTTCCTTCCCCCAGGCACTCCCTGGGTGAACATATTACAGTAGTAAGTTACTCTACTGGGAAATAATTAAGCTTGTTGCACCATCACAACCTCCCATTACCTTCATTTATGAATGAATAAAGAAATTGTAAACACTCTACTTACACACCTGTCTACAGTACTATTGTATCCATGTTTATTTCATTTAAGGTTTTACATATTTACCGAATCAAAAGAAGACAAATGCCTTATGTGTGCAAAAAACTTCCTCAATAAAGACCTTTCTACTGTTTAACTTTGATACACTGCTGTGTTTTGGTCTGTTACGTATACTGGTGAAGATTCTCAGTCATCCAGGTCATAGTCATTCCAAAAAAGTAAAAAAAAAAAAATTCACTGGACTTTGTTTTCCAAGTTTGAAGACGTTTCGTTTCCCATCCAGGAAGTTTTTTCCATTTAAAATGGATTGATTTTAATGCAAAAAGCTTCCTGGATGGGAAGCGAAACAGACATCCCAAGTCTCCCGGAAGTTCGGGGAGTCTCCCTGATATAGATAGTTGTTCACTGATGCCGGCGAGTCACATAAATTATCCCGGATTTTAGACTCTGCAAGGTGGTGTTTTATTTAATGCCAGTGAGAGGGATTGGGCAATATAATAATTCGTGCAGCATGTGCGGATTAGAACTACTGCGATTGCGCAGGAACAACAAGAGAGAGCGGTGTGGGGAGGAGGTTGCTGGTGAAACCTGTGCAGCGTATCTATCCAAAGCGATGCTCTGTTCATCCAGCAATCCAGGCGACTGGTTGATCAGAGAGCTGATTGGATCAGTCTGATAAGTTTCTGTGGGTTACTCTCTGGCAGTCACCTAGTTACCACTCAAAGCTGTGCATCCTGTGAAACGGCAGAGGTATCCTCAAGCAAAAAGTGAAAATATAGGACTAATTTTACAGCAGAATATACTAAAGTATATCCACGTCTAGTGAAGGTGAGGAACAGTGGCGGATCTAGACCAAATGTACCAGGAGGCCAGGAGGGGGGCAGCGTGTTTTCATAGGGGCACAGAAAAACATGAAATAAAAAACAAGGGATTCAATATATTAATATATTAATATAGCTGCATGAAGTAAAATTTATTTTAGATTAGGTTGGATAAAAATTATATTTCTCATGAGGTCAATATACATTTATAATTTAGGAATTTTACATATTTTTGACTTTATATATAGTAGTTAAAACTACACTTTTCTATAAAATTTGAATTAGAACTCAAGAAAAAGCATTTTTTTTATTTGTTGTGGGGAAAAAAAACATTTAACAGATTAAAACTGGGATCCTATCTCAATACCACTGAAGCTATCACCTTATTGTTTTTAAATAATTTGTAAAGAAAAAAAAAACACATCCACAGGACCTATCAGTAACCATGTCTGTTGCAGCACATATCATCATTAGAATGTCTTTAAGGATTATGTCTTCAGTAGAGGGGCCATAACAGGGGCCAGGATATGGTCTACAGGGGCACTGGCCCCTGTTGGCCCCTGTCTAGAACCGGCCATGGTGAGGAATGATGACACCATGGCGAGGGGGGGGTAAGCATCTCCCTGAAATTAGTTTTTGGAACTTGGGATGTCTGGAAACGTCTTCAAACTTAGAAACAAAGTCCAGGGGATTGTTTTTTTTGTTTTGTTTTTTTACTTTTTTAGTCTGTCACGTTCAATTTAAAAAATGCAGTTTGTGTTTGTAATGTCAAACAAGGCCAAAAATGGGTGGGAAAGTTATTAGATCAATGAATTGTCATCTCATAATTGAAGTCATTTGTGAATTCATTTCATTTATTGTAGTTCTTTTAACTAGTTTCCTTCAATTTTTGCGCTTATCGGTGCTGTTTGATCGAAGGCTTTCATTTCTTTGCCCTGACAGGTCATTAGGTTTCCTGTCAGTACTTCATTAAATTCGCCCTTTTCTAGCATTTTTCTCTCTTTCAGACTTCATGTTAAAAGCATAAATGGGTGAAAGTAGACAATTTGTAGCTTTATTTAGCTTTAAGGGCGGCTTTTTCACTTCGCCGGGGACACATTTCCAGCAGCTCAAAAAGGTTCATTGAGTTCCTTCCTGTGTTGTAAGAGAGCGGGCGGGAACCCCTCTTGGAAAGAAAAAAAATTCGACGTCTCCAAATGGCCGTCGGATATGACTGACAGCTGCGGTGGCCAATCAGGAGGCTCCGTTGCAGAAATGTGTGTTTTTTTCCTTAGCGGCTTCTAAAAAAACCAACCACGAGTTGTCGTCGTGTGGGAGAATCCATCTTGAAGAGAGCTCCTCGACCGCGATCGGCAAGTAGATCTTTGTATATTTTTCATATTACGCTCTTATTTTACAAATATACATACATGTTTTTTTTATTATTTCCTCTTTTTGTTTTTTAAATGAAGGTGACATGAATGCGTCGCAATATTGTCCTACATTTCGCGTAGCACGGCCTCTGAATTACGTAATTGCAAATTCGAGTTCGCGTTTGGTTAATCGGTATGATTCAGGTGGTTTTTCTATTATTTGGCTCCAGTAGAGCGACTCTTTAGACGCTAAGTGGCTGCCGTTTTGTTTAAATAGCAAACCGTTCAGATAGGAGCCAGGGGTTCCCTGGGTTAGTGCTGATAGCGCAGTGTCGCCGGTCAAAATGGTGGGGAAGCGAAAACTGGCAGCACGTAAATGGCGAAGGGCTGACTGTGAAAACGATCCTACCAGGCAACTCATCGCGAATAATCTATTTCTGTTTGTTTTAGGTGTATTAGTTAAAAATGTCAGAAGCAGAACAGCAGTACATGGAAACGTCAGAAAACGGCCATGAAGCGGAGGATGATTTTAACGGAGGAGGAAACGACGGCAGCGCCGACAATGACTGCGGAGAAGGAGCGGGGACCGATCCGGACGGGAACTCACAGGATGGCGGCCAGATCGACGCCAGTAAGGGCGAAGAGGATGCCGGGTGAGTTTTATTCTTATATATTTTTTTTATCATCGCTATTTCAGGGATTTTCTTGTTAGATGATTATCATTAGAGCCGCTATTGGTGCCTCTTTGTTCAACCGGCCTTTGTTGGCGCCATGTGCGGAAGGAGGGAGGGAGGGAGGGGGATGGGCGTTACAGCAGACCTTAGACCATTCAGGACTGGCGCATTAAAAAAATACTACACATCAAACCTTCTGTCACAAAAAAATAGATTATTGATTAAAATCTCTTGCTGAAGTACGTAGATCTTTCACCTAAAACCCCCCTCTAGTGTTAGAGGATCAACAGATGTACTGGAACATGGTGTCCATAATGCATATGCAGAGCCCCTCTGCCTGGCACAGTGCTTTCTTTATACATGAGCTTAGGCTGTCAATTAGTTAACAATAATGGCCAGAATGTGTCAACTGAGTACCTTTATTTTTATGACAGTGTCTGTTCTAAGCAGTTCAAAGGGGTTTCTTCCTCACTCCTTGTTAAATCTAATGTGAACTGTTCAGTTCCACACCTAGGCCCCATTAATGCTCGAAAAATGGATGCTTCAGAGACAGAAAGTCGTATCTGTGGAAGTGTCATGGTTTGGGGGAACTACTGCACTTTAGGGCTCTTTTAGGTCATTTGGAAGCCTGCATCTGGTTAAAAAGGGCTGTAGCTATATTATCCTTTTACTATGGATAAAATGTCTTCATTTAGTTTAATTTGGCTGTAATGTGGACTATAAAATATTCATGTCCAGCCCCATCTGTTACCATCACATATTCTATATTCTCTAGTTTGATTTCTCATAAATACTATTTTGGAAGCCTATTTAAACAAAATAAACCAGTTGAATACAAGATGATACCTACAAAATTTCATATAGAAACCCCAATGAACCTGAGCAACAGGAGTTTGCCACCTGATTGTTCTCCTTTCTGTCAATAAGGCCTTAATCAGATTTTTTTCCCATTATTTCTTTTTGCCTTCATCGAATAGTTGACATGCAATTAGGACAATTTCATAAAATATATTTGAGCGATCCCTTTCCTTATATTAATATAAAACGGTATTTTTCAGTAATTGTATTGGCATCAAATGAGATCAGGGAAGTAACAAGTTGAAGTGACCATTAAATCTACTATTTGAAGGTTATTATTGAGGCGGTGAAATGACAGCAACATAATGGAGATTGTATTGATATGGAGAGCTGTAAATGGCATTCGCTTAACCTGGATTATGGCTCTTTCTCATTAAATGTGAGCCCAGAGCTTATTCTTTCTATCTTTTTAATATGAATTGATAATTATTTAATCTTTGATTTTGTTTTTGTTTTTTAGTAAAATGTTTGTTGGAGGCCTCAGCTGGGACACAAGCAAAAAAGATCTAAAAGACTACTTCTCAAAGTTTGGAGAGGTGACGGACTGTACCATAAAGATGGACCAGCAGACGGGTCGGTCACGAGGATTTGGCTTCATTCTCTTTAAGGATTCAGCTAGCGTAGACAAGGTAAGGAGGGACACAATTAGACTCTACTCATAAGGGTCTTTTGTAAGGAAGGAGAAATACAAGTAATGTTTAGAGATTCACCACTGTTTTGTTTTTTTTTGTTTTTTTTTTACTTTATAGGTTCTTGAACAGAAGGAGCACAGGTTAGACGGCAGACAGATCGACCCTAAGAGAGCCATGGCCATGAAGAAGGAGCCTGTAAAGAAAATCTTCGTTGGAGGCCTTAACCCTGATACCGCCAAGGAGGTCATCGAGGAATACTTCGGGGCCTTTGGAGAGGTACAATTAGCAGTTTGTTGGCTTCAGTTGGATGAGAATATAAAGAATCGGGGGATGGTTGGCTGCTTCACAAAGTACGGTTCCTGTTTCATAGATTGAGACTATCGAGCTCCCGCAAGATCCAAAGACGGAGAAGAGGAGAGGATTCGTATTTATTACATATAAAGAAGAGCCTTCTGTTAAGAAGGTTATGGAGAAGAAGTACCACACCGTCGGTGGCAGCAAGGTAACCTCCACAGTGGATTACTGCTGACTTGTTGTATGTTTAAAGTGGCGTCCCACTAAAAAAAAACCGTGCTTCTGTGTTTCTACAGTGTGAAATCAAAATCGCCCAACCCAAAGAGGTCTACATGCAGCAGCAGTACGGCGCGCGGGGTTACGGAGGGCGTGGCAGGGGGCGCGGAGGTAACGACCATCATGGCTAACGAACCCGTGTCATTCACGGCTATGTATGTCATTGTTTGCTCTGAAACCAAGTCGTGACAAAGGCCTCACTTGTTGTTTCTAGGCCAGGGTCAGAACTGGAATCAAGGCTACAACAACTACTGGAACCAGGGATACAACCAGGGCTATGGTTATGGACAGCAGGGCTATGGATACGGGGGCTATGGCAACTACTCTGACTACTCTGGTTATTACGGCTATGGGGGTGGCTACGACTACAGTAAGCGATAAGTGCCCCCGGGAAAGACACTGAATGAGAGAAACTTTATTTTCTTGGTCCTCCTTGTTGTACAGAAGAACTCAGTCCCTTTTTCTCTTGTCCTCCAGACCAGGGCAATACAAGCTATGGGAAAACTCCAAGACGTGGAGGCCACCAGGGTAGCTACAAGCCATACTGATCACACGTAGTGCAGGTATGCATTCTTGCATCATCCGTGGTAGTATGAGAAAGTAGCTATTACCATTAGTGCCTTTTGGCCCCACAGAGAGCTCCATCTACACTAAATCCATTCAACCATTGTGGTGGGGGTTATAGTAGGGCGTTTTGTGGGGTCTGGGATCATTGAAGATGGATTCATTCCACCTGTCTTCCATCTTGAGATGCATCTCTAAAAAGCCTACTTGATCAGTAAGGATTTGTGGTGGTCCAAAACAGAAATGAGGACTGATCCGATCAGCTAGCAGATCAGCTGTGTCCCCCCCTCCCCCCTTCGTCCCTCCTCTTCCCGTCCCAAATTTGTTTGTCATTCACTTTAGTTGTCGAACTCATTCATGCACCCGTGTGTCTCTGTGTAACTGCATGCCACGATCGGTTAAATCTCAGTAACGTAAAGCACCGTGTTTTTCTCCTAAGGTCTAAAGTAAATAAGATCCATGGTCTGACCAGCGAACATGGGCTTTGGCTTTTCCTTTGGAGTTGGCAGAAATTTGGACTCATGCTCCATTTGTACAGATCAAGTGAGGAAACTGGGGAAGCAAATGTCACTTTTCCACTTTTTTTTTTATTATTTTATTTTTTATTTTGTCCATTTACATTTCCAGTGATGGAAGTGTTATTTTTACTGTACTTTTTGGTACCCTTCTTGAATCTAATGTATTGTATGGTTGTATTTTTACATGTCGACTGGATTTACAGACGAGCAGGAGCAAAGGGCTTTGAAAAGCTCTCAAATAAAACAATATTGCTTTTTGTTTTCTGTTCTGTGTGTTTCTAGGTTTTTAGTTATTTTTTTTTTTCCCATGCTGAGTGTTGAAAGTGAGGGGCATGGCTTCAGATGTGGGCTGAGGTGATTACAAAGGGATTTACACTAATCTAAGGGTTCTGTTCAGAAAAAAAAAGTGTCAAAGTGAACGCTATGGGGGCTTGTAAGGAAGGACCAGCATTTTATTTTATTATTTTTTTTGTTTTTAAGGAAGCTTCTCCCCAACATGTCTGCAATTTCTTTCTTTTTCTTTTTTTCCAAGTGGCTTTATTAGTGTCATTCAACTTGAAACGCAAGCCTGTTATAATGTAAGAGGGTAACCCCTCTATCACTGGAAACTCATTCCTCTAGTGTCTTGGGCAAATTGATAGAAATAAAAATTTGGTTTATATTACAAATGGACTTTTTGGTTATTATTTGTAAAGTTAATTTTAAATGTACTGTTAATGTTAAATGGCTTGCATGTTTTGTCTGAAGTAATGAATGATGCGGCGCAGGGTTTCTCTACCTGTTAATACCCAACCTCACTTAATGTGAACCTGGAACACTTGAGCGTTTTTATTTCCCTGAGTTAAAGATGATTGGTAAGTGTTTACCTGGGCCTTCTGTGTGTTGTATTTTGAAAGAAGTTGGATATTTTAAAGTATGGCAGCAGAAGAAAAGGCAATGTTTAGATTATAAGCTCTTTATTTCCTTTTTTAGTCTACATTTTTAAAGTCCTCAAGAAAAGGGTAAATGATTCTTTTGCAAGCTCTTGGAGGAAAGACCGACGTTCTGCCAGATCGCCACCACGTAAAGATGCTGAGGACCTGAAACAAAATAGCTTTTACCATCAGAACGTAGCTTCAACAGTATTAAACACTCAAATTCTTCCCATTGTATTTCCTTTGGGCTTTGATCCACATTTAGTAACATCTGAAATGAACTGCGAGTGTGTCTGATTGACAGCAGCCTTATATGTGGAAATCTACCTCTGAACAACTTCATGAATGTCTCATCTGACAATGTTGAATGCTATTAAAGGTTTTCTACAGGTTTGACAAACCTTTAAATGTCTTCATTTTCCAGTTTGAGATTGTCGGCCTTCATGTCTGCAAAGAAGAAAAGTATGATCTCAGTTTGAAACGAGGTTTATTTAGATTTAAAAAAGAAAAACTACTATGGTACACTGCATTGATGCCGTCATTCAAAGTGTCCCTACTGGGGACTCGATGCAGATAATTTTTTTGGTGATCATATATTTTGGGCTTTTCTCTATTAGCTATATTCATCCCAAATGGGCAGACTTGAAATAAGTCAAGTTTCTTTATGAACTACTGAAACAGCCTTTTGAGAATTAAAACTGATTTCATACTGGAGAAATTTACCATTGCAATTAACCCAGACCTTGGGGAGCAGTGGGCTGTATTCCTCTCTTTGAGCCTTAATAGTTGGCTGCAAGCTTTAAACTTCCTAATAATTAAATTTGGGTCCATTCTTCTTTGTAAATTAATACTAATTGATAATTTAACTTTATTGATCTCACATTGGAAACCTCTGCAATTAACTCATCCCTTGGGCAGCAGTGGGCTGCCATTGTGTGGCGCTCAGGGACCCAGAGTGGACACTGTAGGGATCGAACAGGGTACTTGCAAACTTCTCGGAGCACAAGCCCACTGCTGTAACCGCAAGGCCAACACTACCCTAATCAGACTGATTCTAGATTATTTTTTTGTAATATTGATCAACACGAGAAGTTTGTTAAATCTGGTGCAATGTATCATGCAGTTAATGTGTTATAAATGAGTTGTTTACATGACATTATTACCACTGGCATAGGCTGAGTTTGTGCTACAAACCCGTCAGGATCCGATCAATGCACTGAACAACTAGTTGTGCGTCTTCCATACTGAAGCACATGGGAGGCTTAAACTTGAGGATGTTTTCCCAGGGGCCATCAGTGCTGACGCAGATTTGATCCTCTTCCTTTAATCTAGAGTAAGGAAGGCACCAGAAAATTAAAAGGAAGCTTAAATCAGTTCTTGGTAATAAACTTCCAATAATTTGTACGTTCCTGCTTAAAAACTGGTTGATGTTCATGAATCGTTGTCATTGTTAGAGAAAATTTAGCAGCTATGACGCACATCTTAAACGTGAAACACCCTTAATTTAGTGTCATTAGAATCCTAGTGTAGAAACTTAATCCACCTCTGATGTAAAATGATTTGCCTATTCACTATGCGCCATTGTTAAACTCGGTGTAGCTCTCCTTGTATCATCTTTTAAGTAAGGTGATACACATCAGGAAAATAGGACACAGCAGAATTACCTTTTTACCACCTGTGCTGCAGTTTTGGTTGCAGGGGTTTTGCTTTGCCTGTCTGTAACCAGCTCCAGTCCCACAAACAGACCGACCCCTCTGTGGGCAAAAAACCAGAAACATTATAGTACATTTTTGTTCAAACGAGACAAAAATGGGTTTTTTAGGCATAATGTTGACATTTTGAGATTCCCATTGGAATTAGATATTTAGAAATAAATTATTCAAATGACACATTCAGATTTGTCCTTTATACTGACATTGTCTTACAAAGAAATGTAGGATCTCAATCTAACTATTGTCACAGACTTTAATGTAGTTTATTGGGATTTAAATTGATAGACCAACACAAAGTAGTGCATTGTTTTGAAGTGGAAGGAAACTGATTCATCCATTATTTATACCTACTTATCCTCCAGAGCTCCGGACAAAAGCTGTGGTACAGCATGGACACGTCTACAGTCCATCGCTGAGACACTGAATCACACTGCCAACAGTAATTCAGAGGACATACTGACCTATAAAAGGTGTTCTTGTACTATGGGTCCCCAGAGAGACCCTACATATATGCTGGGCAAACCCCAGATAGAAACTCCCAGGTCAGAATTTGAACAAATGGACCATTTTGCTGCAAAGTACGGAGCCCCTAAAGGGACATGGAGGGAAAAAATAAACTTTTGCTATATCTTGCAATACTTTTGCAAGATCTCGCAAAACTATTGCGGAATCTCGCAAAAGTTCTTTTTTTCCCCTCCATGGCCCTTTAGGGGCTCCGTAGCAAAGCAATAGTATCCACAGGCCTCAAAATGATGGGTTTCAAATTCTGTACTGATTCCCTAATCAGTAAATTAGAGTCAATTTTTATGTAACTGATTGTAATTATGTAATCTGCTATGGAAACTTGGCAAGATTGCTAAACTGTTATAATGAATAAAGTTCTCTGGTCAATGTAATCATTGACCTGCATGCGAAACTAACCTGAACAGACAATTATAAGGTGGTACAAGTTGGTAACAGGCTGCTGCAGAGCTGCTTTTATTTTCAACAGGGAGAAAAAATAATGGATGGAATTTTCTCTGGATGGATGAATACAGCACATTAAGGTTTAAGAAAAGATAATCGAACAAAGTATTAAAGCAGGCCTCTGAATGCAAATACATGCCAGGTTTTTCAGATTTCTGTTTCTAAAATAAAGATTTTTAGGAACTAACAAAGTTTATGGATACTGCATGTATAAATGTGAGAAACAATGTGTCTATGTGCCATTTTAAACTTTTCCGTTTAAATGAAAACTGACTTATCATATATCAATATAAAAATGAGTAAACCCTTTTTATGAATTATTCAAGCAAATAAAAAAAAAAAAATCATCAAATTAAGGTCTAGAGTTTTGTTTATCATTTTCAAGATACTAGATGCAAAACATTTCTTGTGAAACTTACTAGCCATAGTTGTTCTCCTTTCTAACACTTACTTAGTTCCACTTACGTTTGACCAGAATGAATAAAAAGTGGATGTTTCACTAATTAAGGAAATGCTGCAATGAAGGCTTGACCAGTCGAGCATAGAAAGGACATCAGCAGGCTCGGACTGGGAACGATTTTCGGCCCTGCCATTTTTCCATCTACATCGGCCCACTTATGGAACCCCCCTGCTCTGTAACGTCCAGCAGGGTTGCCAGATATCACTGACTCACGGTTTCCAGCCCAAAAAATGTCCAAAAACCGCCTGTATATACGAAACCTCGCCCAATTTGAACCAAATTCTATTGATCTCTGAGGCCATAAATCTAAAGAAAAACATTTTTTTTAGCAATCCTAAACTGCCAGTTTGGGAAACATCCCAACCTGGCAACAATGCACGTAAGATGGGGAAACGTTAGCCTTTAGATGCGAAACCCCATAATGCACCGCAATGTATTTTTGCAAAATATTGAACATAAATTCGCCAACTAAAAAAAGAACATTGTATTTTCGTTTAAAGAAAGCATTTTAGTTTTATTATAAGTTAGTTATTTTGCAAGGAGTTTGTGTGAAGAAATAGAAAATGCCAACCGTCACAAGGATGTGCATGAAAAGGAAGGCTTTTAGGTAGTTAACATTGTATTACTTATTATTTACTGTCACAGGTAGGTGCTTAGGGTGCCGGTATGATTTAAGGAGGGCCGGCCCTCGCACGCTGAAGTTAGGACCGTCCCACCGGGCAAATGCCCGGTGTCACAGATTACCAGTCCAAGCCTGGACATCAGAGTATCATAAATGCAGATAGGTTAATACCTGACCTGCTCATATGAGAAAATCTGAGAAAACGGACTCTTACCGGACATCTCCGATTATTTCGTGTCTTGTTTGGAGTTTCTTCAGCAAATCTTTCAGATGAGTTCCCACCCTGACGGCATTTCCTCTTAGATCTTCCTTCTCTATCACGTCCAGAACTGCCAGACCGATCGCACACGACACTGGATTACCCCCGAACTGAATTTAGTTAGAGAAACGTAAAAGTTAATCCACATAGGAATAAAAATGTGATAACAAGAAGGTTTTTCTGTTAGGAGAACAGTAAAAATGCCTCTAATTTTAAAACAAGTATGTGCTTAGTTATGCTGGCCTTCTCTATAAAATTGCTGTACAGTTACCGTATTGAAGTACTCCACTCCATTAGCAGTGAAGGCTGCAGCTATCTCCACAGTGGTTGCAACACAGGCCAAAGGATGTCCGTTACCCATCGGTTTGCCCATGGTAACGATATCCGGACAGAAATCCTCTCCCTGAAGCTGGAAAGCCCAGAAGTGAGTCCCTGTGCGCCCAAATCCTGTCTGAACTTCATCTGCGACAAACACTCCACCAGCTGATCGCACATATCTGTGGAAAGTAGAAACGACAACGTCACCCTATGCAAGCAGTGGCAAAGAAACGTAGCTAATAGATCAGTACTGACTCTGCGACTTTAGACGAGTATCCTTGGGGCAAGATGATTTGTCCACCAACACTGGGCATTGATTCAGCAAAGAAGGCTGCAATCTAAGGGAGAGCGAATAATGAATATCGCAAAAAATGTCATCGACTTCTGTTGTTAACTGTAGCAGGTAAAGTTTGGGTGAATTAATCTTATAAAATGATGGATTAAATGTACCTTTCGACCTTTTCTGCTGATCTCCTCTATCAAGTCTTTTACTGTATCAGCATAAGCTTGACCTGGATTGGGATGCTCTTCTCTGTATATTCCTCTGTAAGTGTCAGGTAAGGGTGCCTGTGAGGACATATTGCGATCTCTCAGACAGGCAGGACTCAAATATTTTGTTGTTTCTAAATTTGCATGCTCTAAGTTTCATATATTTACACACAACATGAACCCATTCTTTCTGTCCTGTCAGTTTTCGGAACTTGTAAGGACTGATGTCGATGAGAGACTTAAGATGCCCGTGGTATGCACTGGTGTGAAAGGAATGTATAAATGAGAAAATATATTTTTTTAATTTAATGTGTTGCTCATGTATTTAGATTCTTACTGGTCAAGCACTATAACATCCTCATGCTGGGTGTACTGCTCTGCAAGGCGGAGGGCAAGATCGTTGGCCTCTGAGCTTTCAAAGAAGAGAGAGTGATCACTTAAAATGTTCCTTCTCAGGTGTGGTCTTGTGAAGCTTCAGATCCAGATTTCTTACCCAGAGTTGACAAAATAGAACACCGACAGTTTCTCAGGCAGGGTGGCAGCCAGTCGGTCTGCATAAAGGACGATGTTGTCATGGAGGAACCGGGAATTTGCATTCAGGAGGTCCATTTGGGCTGCAGCAGCCTTTGTTATATCTGGATGGCAATGTCCCACTGCAGGAAGAACAGCGTTTTGCAAACTATTTATATTACAAAATAAAATATTTTTCATTAACATCAACTAGGATTTAATAACTGAATTTCATGTGTACATAATTGTAATGTAGAGGGTTAATGAAATTATTTGTAAGAAAAAAAAAATCTTAAACTTAATCCCCTTTTATTTTGATTCCCCTTATTAACATCCAGTGCATCTACTTGCATTTTAAATTCACCTAGTTAGGAGATAAAACAATCATGTTTTCAATTGGGTAAGTTTTCTATAAACAGGATCTACCAACCCATACAGAGTACCAGAGTGAAACATAGGATGGTAACATTAAAGGGGAACGCCGTTTTTTTTAATATTGGGCCCTTGATTTTATGTTATTATATCATAAAATGTTATAACGTCGGATGACATCATACACGCGCCGCTTTGTTTTTAAAAAATATATAAAACTGCGGATGTCTGGGGGACAGTGATTCGCCTACATGTTATAAATGCTAGCATACCATAAAGAATAAATTCTGAACAGTTTACAGTAGTTTGTGTCTTCAAACTAAATAGGAAGACGTTACTTGGATGTAACCTAACGGAATATCTTCAGAACAGCTCCAAATGACACAAAACTCATATGGGTGAGTAGTATGATGTAATAACGTAAAATCAAGGGCACAATGTAAAAAAAAATGGCGTTCCCCTTTAAGTTATGGAGATCCATGTTTATTTTGCTTTTTTTTAGGGTGGGAACTATGAAACTGGTCAGAGTGTATGATATAGCTTCATAAATACAGTGCAATTCTGAAGAAAAACCTGCTAGAGATTCTGGGTGAGGTTAACCTTCCAGTGGTTACAATGGCCCTAAATATGGAGTCGGTGCTTTGGGGGATGGGTTAGGTTAAAGCTTAATCATGTGTTTCAGTGGCAATGTCAAGTTTTTGGATCTAAATCCAGTGGAGAATCTCTGCTACCCTCTGTGAAGAGGCTTTGCAGCATTCGATGCAGGACCAGCAGGTTCTGCAACAGGTTCTTCCCCACCGCCATCAGACTGTTGAACTGTCATGTCACAGACTCTGCATCCCACTAATAACACCAAACCACTTACAATAATTTGGAAGTTCCTGCTTAAAACACACAAACACTGCATATTGCACCATATATATATATATAAATACTCTGAACTTCCCATTCAATGTGTTGTTTACAACATGTTTATTTTTTTTCTCCCACACTGTTTACATTTGATCACTGCTGCACTTTATGGAATAGAAATATTTATCTACTGTCTGAAAAGCTGTACTAAATGAAATTTTGTTTTGTATAAACTCTGCATATACAAAATGACTATAAAAGTCATCTAAGTGGTAAGTGAAATCATTGGGAATAAAAAAGGATGTAATAAACTGATCATCCAATATTCTTAGACTTAGACAGACTTTATTTGTGACTTTGTACACAGAGTGTAAACATAAGAAATTTGGTTCAGTACAGGTCTCAAGACATTTTAATTTTTAAAGTGCAGCCTTGATAAAGGTAAGCAGCAGTGATAAATGTAAACATACGACTGTATATTAGTTACAGTTCCAACATTCAGGATTTTTTTTTTTATAAGCTAATTTTATACAACATTCAGCAGTCTAATGGCAGTGGGGAAGAAACATCTGGAATCTGCTGGACGAGCATTAGATGCTTCGATGTCTCTTCTCAGAGGGCAGCAGGGAGAACGGTCAATGGTGGGTTTATGAGGGGTCATTGATGATGTTATGGGCTCGGGACACGCAGCGCTGGGATGAAAAGTCTTTAATGGAGGGAAGAGGAGCCCTCATGATCCTCTCTGCTGTTCTCACCACCCTCCTCACCTTCTTCCTGTCTGAGGCGCTGCAGCCTCCATACCACACAGTGAGACAGCTGGTCAGAACGCTCTCTATGGTGCTTCTGTAGAAGGTGGTGAGGATGGGTGGGGGCAGGTGGGCTCTCCTCATCCTCCTCAAGAAGTACATACGATATTATAATAACAATATTTCTCCAATATTCCTAAATTTCAAGCTATTCTGCTATAACTGGGCAATAACAGATGTCCAGATATTAGATCTGGTTAACACAGGCCCAAAAATGGAAAATTAAAGCTTTCTGCAATGTAGGGAGGGGATGATTGGAAACTATGAATCGTGTTTTTATCATCTAACATTTGTGCTGTGGATGACTCCTTAGAAAAAAAGTTTGTAAAAACTATATGAATACTTTGGCTAGAAAGCTTTAACAACAGGTAAAAACAGTGGAAAGACTTCCTGCCACCGGGTGACAGTATTGCATATAATCTATATAAAGGATCGGTTATTGGTAGTGTAAAACTTTACCATGTTGAACGTTACTGATGCAATCCAGAAAACGTTTTCCATTTTCGTCAAACAGATATTGTCCTCTTGCTTTGACTATCTTCACAGGATCGTCCGAATAAAACAGCCTCAACGACTGGCTGTGATTAAACAAGATAGGGGTCAGCTCAGTGGCCTACAAGAGAAAACAAATAACCAACAATAAATAATAAAAGAACTCTGATTTTACCTACCCAATTAACCTCTTTCTCATTTCGAGTGTTTCCGCTTTCTTAAATCTTTCCTCTGCCATATCTTATCTTGGTTCGTCAGATGAAAACGCTCAAGAAAAATATTAAACCAATGAGGGGTTTATATTACCAAAGACTGTCGGTTGTTATGTAAATTAACCTGTTTTGCAAAAGATCCAGAACCTTTTTCTTGAGCAACGTGAAAACATCCTCCACGCATGCGCAAATCCCAGCCTGGCGATTTAAGTTTACCCTGTTTTGACAGACTTTTGCTTTTACTTCCAAATGGAAGTAGACCTATAAAAACAACTTTTCAATATTTATATTTAGTAATATTTTTCGATATTACTTTCCAGTATTATACATGAAAACGAAAACATTTGCGGTAGGGTTTTGAAAATGTACTGTGCCTTTAAGTGGAACGGTATAACTGTGTGGATGTAAGGGGGTAATACGTGTGAATATTATTGTTACGTGCAATACCAAATATGTTTAGAGTTTAATATATCTAACCTAACATAAACTAAAACAAATATGCGAATCGTTTATCTTTATTTGCAGGCTTAAAGTCCTTTTAGTGGGAAATTGCTTTCATACATATGGCTGCGTTGGTATTGCCCAAAAGCTATATAGCCTCTGTAGCTCTCTCGGCCGTGTGAGTTTCGGTTGCTAAGGAACCACAGAAAGCAGGTAACGCATCATGTCAGCTGTAGCGTGCTAGCTTTCAGGATGGCTGCGTGACTGTGATATGAGCCGATAAATTCAGGAGTGGCATATTTTCACAGCCTTACAAATGGTGCTTCCAAGTGAACGGTTGTCGGTCAGAAATTAAGAGGGGAACTGAAAGAATAAATGCCAGTGTTTTAAATTGGCACACTTATCATATCAGCTTGCTAACGTAACCGGCTAATAACTTGATGTCTCACGGGCTGCATCGTGTTACGAAGCTAGCTTGCCTACTAGCTTCTGCATTAGATTGATTTAACCATAAAAATCTATCTGGATAAAATATTTAATGCAGTTGATGTTTCAGATCAATTTCAGCTATCGATTGTATTTATTTTTTATTAAAAAATAAGCGACCTGCGCCACCATGTTAAAACGCTCCTAGCTTTAGATTTTGTTCAACACTCTAAATGACGTTTAGGTTAAATGTCTATTTTATTTTTCCTATACATTTCCACGAAACAACTATAATTTTGAGGACATGTTATTTTATTGTGCATATACTCTTTATAATTATTTAATGTGCTAGCTTTAAATTAGCAAATGATTGCTGACACCACTGTCTTTGCTTTGGTTTTGGTCTTTCAGGGCTGTTGCTACTTGATGAGGTTTGGTGTGCCACTCTTTGACTTGTGTGGCATGTGGAACTAGGCTAGCAATGTAGCAACCAGTGTTGTCATGAGATGGCAGGCTTTGGAGGCCACATCTAAAAACCAACACTTGTTAAGTTTCAATGTGCCCTGAGAATGTTTTAAGTTTATTTTTCTTCTGATTATGGTTTAGTTTATAGCATTTATGCTGTAACTGTTCATTCTGTTGGCATTGGTTTTGGTATTATATGTACTTTAGCCTTTGCACTCCTCAACACTAGTGTTAACACTACAAGGGCATGCTTCATTTCCATTTAACAGTTATATGGTCTTTTGTTTAGTTTCAGTTTGAGAAGTAGTTTAAAGATTTGTGTAATGTTCCTTCTTCAGCCAATGTGGGTTAATCTTTAGGAAAAGAGGAAAAGTGAGTCACAACGACTTGTGCTGAAATGTGATATAGAAAGAATGAGCCACCAGATAGGATGTACGATCCCTTGTGGTCTTCTTCTTTTCTTTTTTTTTTTTATTGCACCCATACAACCTGGTCAATGTGGTTTTACTCCTCTGCCTTGCTGAGATCCTGTGGCTTATTTCAAACCCCTGTCCCATTCATTTTCCACAGACTTCCCCCTCCATCCTCTCCTTTTTAGTTTTCCCTGCCCCCTTCCTTTCTCTGCAGCACCCAGAGTTCTGGGAAGGAACTTTAGTTGATTGGATCCAAACTAACATGTCTGGCCTTTACGTTAGTTTTTAACTTTGTACCTGTTCTAAAATATCACTATTCTGAGTTTCTTGTTTTTTTGTTGTTTTTTTTTGTGTTGTTTTTGTTTTAATGGGTGTGCACTCTTTAGTTTTAATGGAATGTGAAGTCCTCCTTTGTTCAGGGCCTCCTTACGTCCCCGTGTGCTCTCTGTCTTTGTGAACCTGAACTTCTCCCTTTCATGTACGAAGTGAATGACGCAGCTCACAGATCCCTGCTTAGTTTTCATGCAGAAGTATGCTCTCAGCACTCATGCATTCTGTTCCTCAAGCTGTTGCTTTGTAAGATACTGTTTAATTGACTGTTCTCTGCATTGTAACAGGTCTGTTTAATGATCTCTGCTCTGTCTCACCTTTGAGTTTTCATTATTCTGTCCCTTCAGCTGGCACAGACATGAGGATGCTATAGCTGGAGGGCTGGGCAGTCTGGCTGGTTGAGGTGTGGAGGGACACCACAGACCACGCCAGAGTTCTGACAGGGGAAGAAAATAGAAATTTCACCACTCTCGGTGGATCTACCGTCTTCATGCGTCTCCTTGGACTGCAATTATGGTTACACTTATCACGGAGCAGCTCCGTAAGCAGAGTTTAGAGGAACCTTATCACAAGGCTTTCACATTCAATGCCAGTGTGGTAAGTGTTGTAATAATGATAAACTCACTTGACCTTTGACATCATTTAGCTGTGCATTTGAGCTTTGAAAGTAAATTTTTGCATTTTTTAATAGTCTCTGCCTGCAGTGGGCTCGAGTCCCACCGTTTCTTGGAGTGCTGGGAAATCAACACAAGGTAAGATGGAAGAATTTGGAAAGGGAAACTTTAATCGTGATGAAAATCTTAGTTGTATTTGTTTGACTCTTAGACACCAGCTCAGCCTCGCAGCAGTCATCCAAGGCACATGTTTTGGCTGAAACGTGTGAACCTTGGCCTCGTTCCCGCTCTGGAGAGCCACTGCAGGAACCAAAGCTTTCGCTCCAGAGTTCCCCTCCACCACCTCCGAAACGCCACTGCCGCTCGCTGTCTGTGCCAGAGGATCTGTCCCAGTGTCGCTCCACTTGGCACCCAAGCGCATCAAAAGTCTGGACTCCAGTTAAACGGGGCTGCCACAGCGGGGGAGCATCAGGTTCCGGCTCTGGAGCCAGTTCTCTGCTTTGTGGTCCCAGTTCTTCCTTCACCTCCTCCTCTTTACACTCGTCCTCTAGCCCTAACTTCTTTAGTTTAGCCTTGTCTTCTGACTCCTCTTTGTCATGCGGCTTCCCATGGGATCCCTGTGATACACTGAAAGGTGCTTGCTCTGCTTCCCTTGCTACTCCTTCCTCTTGCTCCTCCTCACCAGCTCCCCTGGTTTCCAATTCTGTCCTTCACCGTCGCTTCTCCCTTTCTCCTGTGCACATTCAAATCGCCTCGGTGACGTCCATGCACGCCCAGCCTTCCCAAGCTCCTTTTACAGCACATAGCTTTTCAGGCCCAGAGTATCCGACCCTGTGTCCCTCGCCCACCTCAGCCTGCAGTACACCGTCCTGCTCTAGGCGGGACCTGCACCCTGCCCTGCCACGATGCCACTCGCAACCCTGTGACATGCGCAAACCGCGGTTGAAGCGGCGCCACGACCCAGATATTCCGCCTTGCTCCAGGCCAGGGCTGGACTTCAGCAAAATGACACAGGTGAGAAAATCTATTTGGATCTGAAAGATTCCACATACGTTTTAGGTCATTTTTTTTCACAAACTTTAATTTGATTTTTTTTTTGTCATAATGGACCAAAGCAGTTTAATTGTAAAGTGTTTTCTTTCATAATGAATTTAAGACGTGATGTTTGTATCCAGCCTCTACCTCTGATGCCCCTAAATAAAATGTGGCTATAAAAGGCAAAGAGTAATGACATGATTATTCACCTAAACTGAACAAGGAGCATGGCACTCCTTTTTATTTGGGGGGGGGTTGCAGGTAATGATGGCAAAAAGTTTTTTCATTTTTTCAGGGGTGAAGCATTCCCTTCCAGCTGCACAATTACTTTTTCCTATAGCCAGAGCAACTCTAGAATGGTTTATAGCAAAGTAGAATAGTTATTATGACCTGGTCAAAGTCAAAACTTGATGTCCAGCTGCTGTCAGTCCAATCGGATTTTCTCCTATTCACAAAAGGAGCAGAGCTTTCAGTTTCTGAAGCTGGATGCAAACCACTGTTGTCTGCAAACATTACAATTCTGTTTTGTCTTGTTTCACAAGAAGTCTGTGATTTTTTTCCACCACTTTATTTTAAATTAAAGTCTGGTTGTTATACAAGTTAAGAATGTGTTTGGAACTGTTTTAATTGGGGATCTTCTGATTAGAAATCATTGGATATGGGTCTGATATTGGGTAAAAAAAAAACCTTTTGTTGTTGACTATGCTGTTTTGGCAATTTGCTTGATTAAACCTTTTCCAACACACTACAGTACAAAATAAGTAATAGAAACATGTAGGACTTTGACTTTGAATTATGAAAAAAATGCCAGGGCCGAAAATCGTTCCCAGTCTGAGCCTGCCCTCTACAGAAGGAGCCCAGTCTTTTTGCACACTTTACTTGATCACATCTGATATGTTAAAGTACCTCAATTACCCTGAACCACATTGCTGCCTCTATAAAGGCCCTTTCTATTATCCCTTTCTAGTAAAGAGAAGCTTTCCCAACCCATGATGCTGCCACGTCCATGCTCCACATTAGGAAACAATGTTTATAATGATGGGCATTGCTGGTTTTGTCACACGCTATCCTAATTTCTCAGGTTTCCAGTTTTCAATGATGGTTGTTTCATATGTTTAAATCATACTTAAATTCTCCCTGTCCCATCTTCTGTGTTCTTTGTTCTTCATAATGGTAGAACCTTAACAGAAGTTAATCTAGATTTTATTTAGCCCCTCCCATCTTCATCTGCAGATTTTTCTTATTTCTGTGTATGATTTTTGTTTTTGTTTTTTCCCCTTCTCCTGTACAGATGAGTAACTATGACAGCCTGGTGGGTGGAGCAAGTGGGGGCATCTTTCCTGTGTCTCAGTCAGAGCAGCGCTTGGCCTTCTCGCCTGCTGAATTCCTGGGAAGGACTAGCATCGGCCCGCTGAGTGAAAGTGAAGAGGAGGAGGAAGAGGGAGAAAGGACTGTTTTAGCTGTTGGAAAGGTTCTTTTTGAAAGAGACTGTACAGATTTGGACTTGAGCCTCA